CTTACGAGACACCCTGAATATGGGTTTAGACATTTAAAAAACTAAATTGCTAACACGGGTCACCAAGCGGAAACTTTTTACACCCGAAAATTCCATATTTATTTGATCTTTTCATGTATTACTACTAAACAGTGCATCAAAGCGAAAAACGTATTCTTTAAGAAATTAAAAAACGTCAAATTGTCCGTTGAACGAGCACTTAAACTTAATTATTTGATTAAGTGATATGGTCGATTACCACGGTCAATGAACGTTATTTGTTACCTATATTGTCAAAATATGAGAAAGATTACTGTAAATGGCCCTTCAGCTTGGATATGAGTTATCTAAGAAAAAAAACTCAGAATAATTTCCGATTCCGATCATATCGGCGACCAAATAATTAATACATTCCTGCATGAAAACGTTTCCAACAGCAGATATTTTAATAAAAGAACAACACATTACCATGAGAAATATACAACTCATTATCGTGGCCAGTTTTATGATTCCCATGGATTCTTCAAGGAGATTTTACTCGCTGAAGGTTGCAATGCGTTCAGATCTATTGAAACTGAGTAAAAACAGGGTCCGGAAGAAACCCCGTATTTTCTAGTGCTCGAATAAAAGGTGGTTCGAAAGAATAAATGAAGTTTTTTTAAAATAAATTTTCCTCCATCATGTAGTTTACCTGCGAAACTCAATTCGGAATCAATAGGAACAAACTGCGAAAAGAGCAAAAGCCTTCGCATCTCACAGCGGCACAAAAACTACATTTCTCTTTCCTTTAAATAGATGTTTTTCAGGATCTTTTTTTCGGAATTATTTTTCTAACATCCAGAGGGGGACGCGCCCCCTGGAAGAAATCACTAGTGCTGGTCACGATAATAATTTTTTTTTACATTAATTAGAAAATTCGTCTATGAGGATGAACTTTTCCTATATTTCTCATTTCTTTTAAATTAGTGTTATTTGGAATTTTTGTTCACCATCCAAAAGAGGGCGCGCTCCCTGGCAGATTTCGCTATTGCTAGTCACGATAATATTTTTTTTTTCATTAGGAAATTCGTATATAAGGATGAATTTTCTCCACATTTCTCTTTTCTTTAAATAGATGTTTTTTCGGAATATTTTTTCCACCATCCAAGAAAGGGCGCGCTCCCTGGCAGAATTCGTTAGTGCTGGTCACGATAGTAATTTTCTTTTTATATTACATTAGGAAATTCGTGTATGAGGATAAATGTTTCCTACATTTCTCTTTTCTTTAAAAAAGTTTTTTTGTCACTTTTTTCTATATTTTTTTCCACCATCCAAGGGAGGGCGCGCACCCTCGCAAAATTTGCTAGTGCTGCTCACGATAATATTTTTTTTTATATTCCATTAAGAAATTCGTGTAGGGAGATGAATTTTCCTTACATTTCTCTTATCTTTAAATAGCTGTTTTTGTCACTTTTTTCCACCAGATAGTATTCGCTAGTGCTGATCACGATTTTTTTTTAATATTCTTTTAAGAAATTCATCGTTTATGAGGATGAATTTCCCCTCTATTTCTCTTTTCTTTAAATAGCTGTTTTTTTGGATTTTTTCCCAGCCTCCAGGGAGAGGGGGGGGGGGGAGTGCGCCCCCGGCTGGATCCGCTAGTGAGTAGAGTACCTAATTCTGATATGAGAATTTTTATTATGATATACATAGCTTAAAAAGATTAAATCCGGCACAAGATTAGAAATTAGACATAGCTTAGTGCATATACGAGATCCTGGGTACTTCAGTCTGACCAGAATACATACTGTTCTTCGCAGTCTTCTCTCTAATATCTTAAAGTTTGTTACTTGTGAAAAAGTTAATTTTTTTATACAATATTTAATAATAACGATTTTTTAAAATTACAAATATATTCCTTAAATATTAAACAATCAGGAAACAGGCAAAGAACCGATTTGAAACAGAAAATTGTTTAATGTGGAGGATCAAAATAAAATTTACAGATCTCCCAACCATTAAAGTTAGATCACACAGTGAATACATTATAAAATACTTTATAGAAATATTCTATTTCTGTACATCATCTTAATTTAATTGGAAATAAACAGTTAACAAATATTTAATTTGTAGTTTTATGCAAATTATTATTGATGTACTGATTTATAATAAAATGCAATTAATTGTGATAATAAAATAGGAAATTGTTTTTATTATATAATCCTATTTTTCAATGTCATAATTAAAATATACAATGATAAAACAAGTTTAATCAAAATCGTTAAGAGGCGTTTTTAAGAAAATTGTAAAAATGTGTTTCGGTGTTGATATAAAGTGGCAATTCCGGTTAGCCGATTTCAAGGAATAAGTTGCCAGGACATCTAAGGCATATATCTATCTGAAATATGTAATATCAGTTTTGTACGACTTTTTGGTTTAGAGCTTGAGTGTTCACATACACATAGACCATTTGTCGGGACTTGGTTATTTGGACTCAGAGGAACTCAAAACATGTATTTCTGTTGAAAACTCTACTGTGTTCAACTTGAGTTGCTCAATCCATATTGCTCTGGCAATCGACGATATTTCTTATTCTAGCTTCTATGATTCTTGAGTAGAGTTTCTTTGGTACATTAAACAGGAATGAATCTCGATGGGTATTACATTTCCTAGTATCTCCTATCTTGTTAAAGGACAAAACTATAATCCTTTCATATCATTTTCTTATACATTTATAGCCTATGTACCCGCAAAACAATGCGAAGCAGTTCGGTTTACTTAGTCCAGACCAGCTGACTTGCCTATTGCTTCGAACAAACCATTCTTGCTGATAAAAAGGTCTTCACCATAATAAACCTGTATCAACCACTTAATATCACCAAAACTGCTCCAGTATAGTATTTCACTCTCTTTTAGCAGCATCTTGAAATATTCTGTTCATTTGTCCACTATATATTCGTTTAGCCATATAATGGATACTGATCATTGTTTCTTTTCCTAGATTTTGACACTTACTTTTTCGTCCGCTTAATGTATTTTTTGCAATTTTCGGGTTCAATTTAGAGTTCACCCTCATTTTGAGACCAAATACTAACAATCAGTTCCGGTTACCTAGAAGAACTTAGCTTGTTAGTGCTATAGTTATAGTTATAGCTTGTTACTATTGTTAGTGCATAGAATAATGCATTCAATATTAAAATTTTCTTTTTTTTTTTATGATTTGGTCCAACTTCCGAACAAAATACAATGTTTTTTTTAGTGATATATGAATTTTACTAAACATCCCATCAACCTGAACAATTATATTTGGTTCAGATTAGGTATATATTATTTTAGATTATGAAAGAAGTATTAGTATGAATCATTCATGAAGTATATACAATTTAAATTACCTCTAAGAATCATTAAATATACAAAACAAAGTGTTAAATTGCAAATGTTAAATAAAAAATTCAAGTTATTCAGCAAAGTATTTTTGAATTCAGTTTTATTATATCATTATTATAATAGACCTTCTTAAATGAAGAAATTTTTAGAATAAAGAAAATTAAATTAAAAAAAAAATTGTTTAATTTTTTTGGACAGTTAAATTATTGCATTAATATTTGTTCGTTAATACAATCAATATAATGTACCAAAATCGTTATTATAGCACTATAACTAAGCCATTTATGAGCCCTGAATGGTGTGGTGGAGACCTGTAGGCATCCACGCCAGTACCGCTTTTCTACTGCTTACGTGCGTTTTCTACAGAACTGCTGATATTTAAAAAAGTATATCAGTGTTTTAGAAAGAAAAATATATTCTCCAGATGTTTTATTCCAGCACGTTTTGCGTTATTGTTGGCTGTTTAATTATTACAAATGACGCTTGATTTTCAACTTGAAAATTGTTTTGTTAAAAAAATTGACTTTATTGGTGTTTTTTATTGCCTAAGCTAATTGTTTTTTAATATTTTTTCATGTTTTATTATTCTCTGACTATCTAGCTTTAATAAAAGACCAACTATGACGACCAAATGCTGATTCTCAATGACCAAAAAACTAACTAAAGTCAAAGTTGTCAGTCCGCCATGTTTGGATGCCGTTTTGGGAGCAGTTCGTTCACTTTTTTTTGTGAGAACATTGGCTTTTTTTAAATAAATAGTTACAAGGTACACAACGATATGCAATTTAAAGGAATGTGGATGGGGAGGGGAGAGGGAGAGTGGAAAGGTGCACAGTAGGGAGAGGCCTGGCCCACAGAATAAATAGGATAGAAAATAAAACCTAAATGAACAAATCAAATATTTTACAAAGATTCAAAAGAATGTTTAAATGACCAGATATATAAAAGTAAATAGTGAAAAAAAAAATACCTCCATTATTATGCCTTTTTATTTATAAGGCATTACGAAACCAACTTTTAGAGATCTCTATCATCAGGACTCCATTCATCAATGATTATTGCACATTGTATTTAAGTTTCCCCAATTCTTAAATCCGCACACATTTGTTTTTTATCAAGAAATTGTAACTTATAAATTATTATTTTTATGTACCTAAGCGTTACATTCTTTAAACCATAAAAACATACAAGTATTACAGTTTTTTTTATTATTTAAGCGGTTGTACAAAATTGGTGTATGAAAAATGGAAATATTCAGTTTTCAGCAGACATATTGTTGAAAACTGGACCCCACTGATTAAATTTCTGGATCTAACCCTAGTTTGCAGATCTATTCCATTACTAATATTTTTTTAAACTTTATTTTAGGAGCATTTTAGCATTAAGTCAGTTAATGCATATTCTTGCCTACTTTCCAAGTCTAAAAAATATATTTAAGGTTCATAATTAAAAGATGAATTCAGGATGACCAAACAGCAATAGCCAAAAAAGAAAAAAAACATCAATTCTCGTGAGGAAAAAAACTATGTATAAGAAGTTATCAAACATATCACAATGTGTTTAACATAATAATTTAAATGTTTAAAATAATTAATGCCTCTCTCTAATCTATTATAAGAGCTTTAATTCTTCATTTGCTATGAAATAGACTCTCCTGTTAGTCCAACTTATTCAGTCTAATCTTTTCCAAAGTATTAATTTAAAGAAAATTAAAGCAAATACATAATTTGTTATATACTGGATTTTTTTATTGCCAACAACTAAATAATTTAACCAGCTTTCTAACAAAAGAAGTAATTAATTTTTTCCTTTTATTTACAACATAGATCTTCTTGATTCTGTGTATAATTTATTAACATTTTTGATGTCTCCTCAGTTTGCATAATACAGGAACCCAATCAGTTAAATCTTTTCATCTTGATTCGCATATAAATAGCAATCTATCTGAAAAAGAAATCATATATTTAATCCAGATAAAGTGTAAAATAAAAAATGCCCTAATTTCTTTTTAAAATTATTTATTCAAGATATTTACAACTGTATTACAATATAAATACATCAAGTAAATGTGAAAACAGATATATAATCAAATGAAAAGGCTTGTTGAGAAACTACCCACTGGTAGCACTATAAGGAGATCACAAGGCTTTCTTTTAAGACGCATCGGAGGGTTACCAGGAATTGAAGAGGAAGCAAGGTTAGAAATGAGAGGATTCGGATGGTTATGAAGTTTATTATGGAAGGATAGGTATCTGGATTATTTTATTTGTGACAAAATAAGGAGCATTGAGGATTTTACGAAGGATTTTGGACAGTAAGAATTGGATACGAGAGGAATTTGATGGTTTAGTAGAGCCCCATAGCACAACTCCGTAAATCCAAATAGGTCTTATTATAGTTATGTATATTAGCCTTTTGTAAATAACTGAAAGTTTAGAGCGCTTGTCTAGTAAGTATTGGAGTAAACGGAAACAGCGAGCAGTTTCTTGCCATTTCAGTATTTTTTGAGGATTCCAAGTGAAATGTTTGTCCAGGAGGAGTCCAAGGTATCGGATAAGTGGGGTGTTATTAAATGATACTGTAAGAAAGGAAGTCGTAGATTTACGACGAACCCTAAAATTTAAATTTGATATTTATTTCCATAATAATTTTTGAGCAAACACGATCTTCCATTTTCATTCCTTAATTATTTTTATATTACTTGACGTTCCAGATTTGTGTTGCCATCATCAGAAATATTTTATATAAAATACATAATAGCATATTTACTATAGGCTACCTTATAAACATGATATAGACTATTTGTTATACATATAACTAATTACCTCAATTACTACATAACCATTTACGTTGTTAATTAAAAGTGTGATTTTTTTGTATACCAATTTCATTCATTGACTCAGCTTGTTTAATCTGATTATTAAGGACACATCCTATATTGAATTTATTATTTATTAATACTGGGAGTGGGGTAGCTCAGTGGTAAGGTACTGAGCTTCCAATGCTAAAGGTCGCAGGTTCGAACCCCAGCTTATGACAGAAAATTTATTTATCTGTTTCATTGGCCGTGGGACAACCCTGGGTCGGGAGATCCTCCTGGGCAGACCCAGCCTCTATAAAGTGGGCACACTTAATCAAATAATTAATTAAGGAGGAAAACCTGGTGGTTGAGCATGATCTCGGTCAAATCACCTCCTTGCACAACCGTTGACCTAGAAACAGTGCTTTTCCTAAATAGTACTGAACCCAAGACCCTTCATGGGTTGTAGTGGTACAGGTTTTTTTTTTTTTTTTTTTTTTTTTTTATTTATTTATTAATACTAGATGTCAATATTATAGTTAAATGAAGGTAATAAATATATCCATTTTTTGTTTTTTGAGGAAGAATAATATAGTTATCATGGATGTTTTTTTAAATGAAGGTACTGCTTCTGTTTCTTATGTAATTATTTTTTTTTTATGTTCCGTTGACATTTTTGGATCTTGATCCCAACTGACATTCAGATGAATGTTACAATTTTTATTTTATAAAATATAACCACCAAAAAATTGTAAATGAAGATCGGCCCAGAGCCGAAAACGTTGAAAAATATACAATAAAAAATAAAAGATATAAAGAATTGAAAATGGATGATTTTTTGTTTTGATAAACAAGGTGAAATTTACTTTAAATGAACATAGAGTTTATCATTGTTAAAACCATTTGCAGATGTATTTTGAGCGGCTAAACTAAGCTGATTTCTTTTTTTAGAAACATCAGAAATTATTCAACATTTTTTTTATCATCAACTAACTATACTATTGTTACCTCACTTCAAAAACTTCTTAGTTTAATAAGCTTTAAGTTCGTATTAATCAAGTTGAGGATTATTAGTGAAAAATTTGAGATTCAGGTCAAGGATTGTAAAAAAAAGATTTTATCCTGTCAAGTAAAAGTACTTTTGTTTTCAGTAAAAATAACTTCAATTAATTGTTGCACAACTTTTATTTCTTGTTTTTCTATGATCTGAGATGTATTTTAATAAACCCAATTGCATAAACACATATTTTATTTTTTTTTAAATTAATTTGAAAAATACTAATTTTTCTAATACTCTTTCCAGTAAATCGGTTATAAACTGTGGTTTTCACCCAGATCTCTATTACTGGAATTGATCCGCATTTATTAGTGACAAACTAAATGTTCCTGATTCCTAATATTAACGTTTTCATTAAAACAAAAAGTGGGGTAACAGTAATATAGTTGACTGATGATAAAAAAGAATGGCGAATAATTTATGATTTTTTAAAAAACAGAAATTAGCTCTGTTTAGCCGCTCAAAAGTCACCTATAAATGGTTTTAACAATGACAAACTCTAAGTTCATTTAAAGTAAATTTCATCTTATTTACAATGAAGCAATTATTTATTACTTAAATTAAATATTTCTTTAGTTTTTGCTATCAATTAAAAAAAAAACATGACTCACTTAAAAAAACACAAAACTTGGAGCTTTCCTACTTTTCTGCTGAAAATTGGTCCATTGTTTACATAAAGTTTTTAGTAGCTCTTAGTTAGGTTTGCTATCACTCCTATAAAAATTGTCCTCTACTTGTGGGTCACCGGGTTTAATTGATGCTTTTATGCTAAACTAAGTATCTCATTATATCAATTATATGAAAAAAAAAAAGAAAAAAAGAGGAGAGCTCTTGTAATATCCGGATATTTGTTTAGGAAGCATTAGTAAGTAATATTAAAGAAAACAGAACACCTACGTTGTGAGCTTAAGGATGTTATAAATGTCCTACTTCGGATCACTGATAGATTTGCTGTTTAAACATGAGGCACATTGGTTCAGAGGCAGAAAAAAACTCTTAAAATGAAAGTATTCACATCTCACTTTATGTTACATCATCTTTCCTAAATATCCCCAGAACGTAGGCCAATAATTATTTTCTCTAATTTCCTTCAATTTAATCCCTAAAAAAATAGAAATTAAAAAGTAATTTTTGTGATGTCACAAAAAATTAACTGTATTTACAGATTTATTGAATAATTATTTTTAGATCATAAGAGAGAATTTTTTTCTATAAAATATCATTCATGAACAAATAACTATAGAAAAAATTAAATTTAGTAAAGTCTTACAGTTCTTTGGTTTTCATTATTGTAACTATATAAAAATGGAAGCATAATGTAAGTATAAATGCAAGATAAACAACTACTTACACTTGCCTAAACACTGTAACCATTTGAATCCATTGAAAATCCATTTGATATTAGATATTAAACAAAAATTCTGTGAAAAACATTACAAGCTCACATCAATTTTTTTAAAAGGATGAGTGATTTTTCTGTGTGTACATTTTATGTACCGTAAAGAAATTGTTAGCCATGTAATTCAATCAATGACCTTTACACTCGAATAAACATTATTTACTTTTGTTTAAATAGTTAGTATTTTAATCACATTTCTATGAACAAGAGAAGAGCTATTATAGTCTACAGCAGTCATTACTAGATATACTCAAATGGAACATAAGGAATTCGTAAGACATTTTTAACAAGCTGTTATGTTAGATTTTGATGAACCTGAAATGTTCTCTAGTGCAATTTCAAAGAAAAAAAGGTCATTTGTTCTGTATCAAAGAGAAATCTTTTATGATTTAATCCATTAAAAAGCTGTTGGTTTGACAATTTAAGCAAATATTAAAAGATTGGAAATTTTTCAACAATTGTGCCTCAGTGGTCTAATGTTTGGAATTCAAAAATTTTTTTTTTATTCTTAACTTAAAATATAATTCATTTCGCATTTGTTTAAATTTTAATATATATATATATATATATATATATATATATATATTTTTTTTTTTTTTTTTAACCATGCCTCTCTTTACGGGCTTCAACCATCAGAGATCTCGTAGTCCAATACCATTTTGATTTGGACGACGAGGTATTTTTTATGTTCAACAAGCACGAGCATACACCTAAATGTGCTGCGTCCACATGTGCCCTAATTACATAGGTTGCAATGTGGAGGGTCTGCCACTCCTATTATATGCAGATGCTTCCCAAGGTAGTTGTGGCCTCTTTATATAAAATGATTTGTCTTAAGTTTCGGTGTTTGAAATTGATTCTGAAATCTCAAATTTTATAACTGTATGGATTGTTAAATGATTGGGGAAGGTATAACTCCCATTATTCTGCCCCTAACCCAAATTTTCTGAAAATATAATAAGTTTGAGAAAAATAAATAAAGGAATAACAGTAAAACCATAATTCTCATAAAGCTCAAACTTACATAATTTTTTTAAATATAATTATTAATGGATTATCAGGTTAAAACAACAATCTTAAGAATGTTAAAATAAACATACTCCTTCAGAATTTTTTCTTGAACCTTTAGTTCTATATTACGTAATTATTACAAATCAGTATACTTAAACATTTATTAATTCAGTTTTTATTTCAATCTCAATAATGTTGACTTGAATTATTAGATTAATAAAAATGCGTAAAGCTATCAATTTGATTTTTCTTTCATTCGATTTAAAATAAGAAAATACATACATAGAGACCCCTATTTGAGCTTTGAAGGGTATATCTAAGGTGGTCCAAGTTTTTTTTTTCTCAAAAATAACATATCTGGCACCACTACACGATGTCTTATTTGATTCGATTATCTAATTTAATGCAATACGATCTACAAGAATATACATAAAATGGACAATACTCTTTGTTTATGTTGTCAAATAAATAAAAAAGGTTCCTCCTCATTTCTAAACCTTCCACAACGTAGTATGAGGTGCTTTTCTGTCCTATACATTTTTAATAGGAAAGTAAATTATTCGTTATCATTTCTCTAAAATTAGAAAATTTCATCATATTTTTATTTTGTATGAATGGGACATTAATAATGTTACAATTGACTTTAGTAATAATGCATATGTTTTAATTGAATTTGGCTGAATTCTGAGATATTTTCATGAAATTTAGTTTATAAATATTAGAACAATTTCCTAAACTCATCAAAGGAATTCAGTGCATTTATTTATTCATCATTGATAGCACAGCAATTCCATCACCTTTTGGGGTTGAGGGATTCGCTGGATGTAATCTCCACTGTTATATCTGAATTTATCAATCTTTACATATTCCGTTTATTTTCTACCATTATGGGCAAGTTCGTCAATCCAGTGCTGAGCTCATGAATGGCATCGGATTCGCTGCTGAACTGGGCTAAACTGCACTCAGCGTAGCAATTAGTCCTGTTACAACACGTGACAAAGGTGATGCAGAGAGGATTATCAATGGTGTGCATAGGATCGTTGCCGAGATTGGTCTAGCTATAAATCCACAGAAAAGTGTGGATAAAGGAGAGTTGCAACAAACAAAGTTCTCCCTAAAGAACGGAGAAGTTATAGAATCAACAAAGGCTGGTGAAATTATAAAGTATTTAGGATGTTCGTTTCAGGAAAAGCTAGTACTAAATGAAGAAATGGCAACCAAATTAAATAACAACTTAAACAAATTGGTTAGCTCTTGCCTTCTTAAACGGGGGCAGAAGATCAACGTTGTCAACCACTACATGTTTCTGGTACTCATCTACCCTCTTCAGACAGTGCCTCTCACAAAGATATGTCCTCCAGTATTCAAAGGAATTGATACAAATATCTGCAGGAGGATCAAGGCCATTATTGGGCTCTATGCACCGAGGAGGTTTCGCGGATTGCGACTGATCTGCTGTCAATGGAAGGCTCCTTTGCAGCATTGGTCCATTGCCCAGTGGCTCTATAATATAGAAATCACAGAATGTGCTGAAAGACTGGAGATGGATCAGGGCCACCGAAGCATGAAAGCTCCATAACAATCGCTAAGAGAAAATCCTTTTGAAAAATGGGCCAGCTGCATGTGGTAAGACGTTGGAGTTTGACATTAGGGAGGGAGGAAGGGAGAGAGGGAGAGGGAGAGGGAGAGGGAGAGAGGGAGAGGGGGAGAGAGGGAGAGGGAGAGAGGGAGAGGGGAGAGAGGGAGAGGGGGAGAGAGGGAGAGGGAGGGTGTTCACATATATACAGGGTGTTTCAGGGTTAAGTGGCCAAACTGCAAAAATGAACTAAGCACCTCGAAGCAAGAAAATAATTTCTTCTGAAGGTATGCCCGCAAACGCTTTGTTTAGGAGATATTCAAACCTAAAGATTTTCGTTGTTATGAATTATTTATGCTATATGAAATGAAACCTATTTATTTGTTCCAACTACTTTATTAATTAAATGTAAACATTAACATTCATATTAAATGTTGTTCAAAGTGATTTCCTTGAACATTAAGGCAGGCTCAGCATCTTTCTTCAACAGCAGCAGTGGCAGAACGGCACTGGATTTGTGTTATTGTTTCACAAGATTCAATTATCCTTCTTCGTAAGGAATTAAAGTCTTTGACCGCACTTTTATTTTTTTATTTAGGAAAACAGATTAAATTGTAGTCCATTGCTGCTGGACAGAATCAATTAATGGAATTATTATTGAATTGAGGATTTCTTTAAACATTACAGTTTCTTCTCAATTTTATCATGTTCAATTATATTTTTTATGTTTATTTATTAGTAGTATGCAAATACTGTTGTATTTGCATACTACTAATAAATATTTTAATTTAAATATTTGTATTAAAATATTTTTAATAAATGACTTCAGATATTTTTTAGATCCAAAAATAGATCTTTACAATCTATTCCTTAGATAACCCAGATCTTCAGATTCAGGTCCTATTAATAACACGGTTGTCACATATCTTTGTATGCACATAACACATAAAAACAAAATGCTGTATCAAAACGAACATATTTCACATTGGTTAGAAAAAATATATAAATAATAATAAAAGTAGTACTTACATTTTGTCAATTATTAATTTCCACTGTTTTATGAAACTTTTATTTGATATGCCAAATCAAAATATTGATGGTCTCGACATGTAGAGCTAGGTAATCTAACACAGCAATAATTAATAACTAGAACACTCACAAATAATAAATAGATCAAATGAAATACTGATTAATTATTACCTCAATGAACGTTAATATGAGTTGGACAATTTTGCCCAATATAAAGAAAATCCTAAGAGAAAGTCTCTTTCTCCAATAAAAGGATCAAAAATATCAAAGTCTGCATCACTAATGAACATAAGATAAAAAAAATCAATAAAGTGTTAGGTTAAAATCAGACAATAAATGTGAATATTTAAAAAAATACTTATGTATTTTAAAAATACCTAAGTCTCCTGAGGTAATTAGCTGCAGGTATAGCAGGTAAAAGACAGACAGAAGAGCCTCCGGGTAACTTAGAACTTAGAGATCTAGCCTGAATAGAAAAAAAAAAATTGTAACCACATTCAATCAATAGATTAACATGGTAATTTAAGTAAAGAGGTCAGTGTTGCAATAAAAATTAATGGTTTCAAGATGAAAAATCAGGAGGAGATATATTGTCTTGCAACAATAGAAGATGATTAATATAGTTGAAGGAACTAAGTCATTCCTCAAGGGAGTTAGCAAGTTCTCAATTGACTAATTTTGAGTCTTTATCATAGTACTTGATACTATAGATTTTACATATTTTTCAATTTACTTGAAAATTGCTCCAACAATTTTGATTAAACTCACCATGTCGATATAAAATTAAATGTTTTAATGTCTTGTAGGTATTGAACTGTTTGAAAGGAATTGACAGAGCTTAAATGCCAAATTTCTACCTCTAAAGATGTTTTAATTTTTTTAAAAATAAATAACTAAAAGTCTCTCATTGTTAGTAGTGTTACAAAATAGATAAATATGATTTAAAAGAAAAAAAATAATCTGATCATTAACTAAAGAAGAAAATGTGAAAAATATTTTCTCATGTTGAAAACCAATTTCTGGAAATAATAATAATAATATTGATGTATGATTATAGCTATATAGTCAAAAAGCTAAAGACTTTAGGAAATTTAATATTTGACATATAAGGTCATAGAATGTAATGGAGAGTCAAGTAAAGCTAATGACTTTTAGTTGCGGTGGTAAATAATGTCTAATTTTATATTATTAAATGGTAAAAAAAGTTTCAATAGAAACTAAATGGAACTTATTTAGAAAATCCATGAAAAACTGATTTTTTATTTTTTTTTTTGTCGTAGCTCAAGGATACCTTCATGCTAAGGTTGACTAAGAAACAGCATATCATCCAACTATAGGCTCCATGAGAGAACAAATGAAAAAAAAAAAAAAAATGGGAATCATCAATTTTGCCAAACCCCATGGTCTGGTAGAAGGAAATACCATGTTCCCGGGGAACAAGATTCATAAAAGCCAAATGGAGATCACCAATGGAACAGTAAGCAACCAAATAGACCTTACGTTGATAAGCTCGCTCCATAAGTCTGACCTTATTATGGTAAGGACGTTCAGAGGAACAAATATAGACTTGGAACACTATCTGAGTATTGCCAGAATACAGAAGTGGATATCCACTACTAACCAATGCTCAGTTGAATATGTATAACTTTGATTTGTCCAAGCTGCAGAATATGAAGCTTACCTAACTAATTTGAAAGCTAGGCTAGATGAAGAGTTGAGCGTCAGAAGTGAGGACATTGATGATCGGTGGACAGAAATTTTTAATGACCTAAAAAGTAAAAATGTAGCTAAAGAGACTCATGGACTTAAGCTGATGGGCTTGATCTAATAGGTCAGCATGGTTTGATGAGGACTGCCTCTCCACTACAAGAAACAAAAATGAGGCATATAAGATAATGATCCAAGATTCACTAGACCTATCAATCAGTGCTGCCGAGAAAGAAGGAGAAAGGACAAGAGTATACATCAGAAAAAGAAGAGTTTGAGAGAACAAAAGGATGGCTTATATTGAGAGCCAAAATATATCTCAAAAGTGTCCATCTCTTCTTTCGAGTTAATGAAGAGAGAGAGTGTGAAGAGAATGTGTAGCAGGGAGATTACCAAGAAGTTCCTAAATGAGAAGCTATATAGAAAGAAAAGAGGGGGAAGAAAGATTTATTGGCTTCACAGTACTTCTTAGTGATTCATTTGGAGAGAGTCACTACCTTTTGTGTTTTGGATTATCACAGAGGACCCATTTTTCATCTCCGGTAATCAAGCGATCAAAAAACGCTCCTGTATTGTGCCATTGAAGCAATATGAACTTTCCCAATCTGCTGCAAATGTTCTTAGATGGTCGACCAATGTTGATAAGACTATTTGAAAATACCTCGATTGTCTGACATGGATTTGCTTCCACTTCTGTCATTGTCAAACGTTGATCGTCTTCCTGATAGATATGAGTTGGAAAGATCAAAATTATTGGATTTGGACTAGGAAAACCACCTTTGATATTTACGAATTTCTTATCTATTTAGATAAACATCGCAAATGTTTTTGGAAGCAACTGTTACGTTACTAACCTTGCAAAAATCAAAAAGCATGCACTACTGGATATGTATCTCTCCTGGTATTTGGCAGGCAATTGCACCCAAAATTGCCAATAAAAAAATTTAATTTAATTATTTACAACTAAACAAGTCAATATAATCTGAGAATGTCTTTGCCACAATTTAGATGTACACAATAAACTGACAAATGACAATCAGGTAGTGATATATGCAGACAGAAACAACATTACTTTCTGTTCTCCCTAAAATTTTAATGTGATGTAGAAAATATTTGTTTCTTGATTCTTTTACATAAAACTTTGAAACATTTTGATGGTACTATTGTAAATGTGTTACATCTGAATGGACGAATAATATTTAAATAGAATAAATAATAATTAAAGAACTGTAATTGTAATAATTAATTAAATCATTTTTAAAACTAAACAATTTCAGATCTAAATTGAACTGAAATAAATATTATGCTACCTTATCAATATGAGCTTTGGCACGTGAAGCTATTTTAAAAACTAAATCTTTTGTTGATGATGAATGAGGTATAAGACCTTTGGCTACATCAAATCCAGCTGACTCTATCAGATCCCGAGGAAGACTCCAGGTGTTATTACTTCTTGCAATGCGCAATAGCAACACCAGGCCTTGCCCCTTTCCGACATGGCTAGCAGCATGATCTGCGTGAATATCCTTTATTCCTAAAATTATATTGACATAAGAAAATGGCATATTTACAGAGATTATTTAATAATTATGAAATTATTATAGTTACCTGCAACTTCAAGACTTATATAAATGATAGGAGAAACAGTTTCCTCCGAATATTTTTCCATGTTCTCTAATGATTGAAAGCATTTTTCTGTTAATTGAACTTCTCTAGCTTTCACCAAACGTATTAAATTTCTCTTTTTAAGATCATGCTTTGAAATAGCCTAAAATAAAATTTTAGGCAACATTTTTAACAGTTGAAATACAGAAACTACAATTGAGTTTAGATCTAATGAATGTTACCCTTATGATTTATTATTTATTTATGTTATTAATGATTGTAAATGACACAATACATAGAAATGGCATACCCTAGCAAGCTGAAGAGCAACAGGGTGATTAGGTGGATTTCCTTCATAAATTTTATCAATTGTTTCATTCCAAAATCCTAGCCTCATCAAGGAAATTCTAGGGTCTTTGGAAGCAATTGCAGCTTTGGAAACTTCGACATTAAATGCTCTGACAGCGATCACAGCATTTCTAGTTTGTTTTGGCAGCAGAAGAGCACATAAAAAATTTTCATAATCATTTTTTCTGAGATAAAAATTGATAAATTATTACAAGGTTTGAGCTCATGATTTAGCAGTTGTTTCTTTTTTTGTTTAAAGTTGGAAATATACCTGACTAAATCCAAGCAATAGTCAATGGGTGAAATGTTTTTATGTTTCAAACTATAAAATCTAAGTGATTGAGTAAAAAACCGTTTTCCACAAAGAATTCCTAATACATTATTAAAATTCATTTGGATCTCGGTATTAATAAATTAATACAACATTAAAGTACTTGACAGGGCAACAAGTAATTAAAATCTACACTTCCTATCAGGTATCAGAATTAGTAACCTAAATCAAATAACCTCCTTCCAAACAGCAAATGGGTCAGGTTCCTAAATCTAGCGCTAAAACGAGCGATGGAATCCAGCAACCGTTTGAATCTAGTACTACAAGCATCCGACTGGAATATCGTATCGCCGAGACTTGTTGCATTCTCTGTGTCGAAGCAATAATAGATTTATACTGAGTTTTAGAACAAGTGATGGACTTTAGGGGACTTAACACTTCTGAAAGAATACCAAAACATGAAAGTTAATAAAAAAAAGGTGAAGAAATACCTAAATACTGAACCATTGAATTTCAAAACAGAAATTAATATAGATAGAAACTAAACTGAGTATAAATTTATTAAATAAATTGAATACTGAGTTATAAGGTTAAGCCCAAATGAGATGTAACTGGCTGTATTACATCGAAGAGTTCAGGAACGGTTTGATGGATTTTTAATGACAGCGATGAGCTTAGCGCTGACTTTAGGCGCTCCCTATGTTAATTGTTAATTTTTCAAAATACAACCATCAAATTAAAAACTATTATTTTAATTTATTATTGAAATAGTAATATTTATGTTAAAAGTAAAAATTTACAGGGGTTGAGTTTTTTACATTAGTTAATTTAATAATTCATATTTCTAAAAAAAAAATCATTAATACGTTACATTTTTTAATTGATCAATTATTTTTGTTCAATACATGATGATTTAATAATAGTGATTATTCCATACAGGTTAACTATTCAAAGGAAGTCTGCCTAAAACCGCTACTTACAGTCAGCAGATCCTTTTAGTTATATTTGAATCTTCAGGTATATTTGTATGAATCTCAAATTTTAAAATTTATGTTGTCACCTTATAGTAAAATTTCTCTTTATTAATCTACTCATAATCATTTATATGTGTATGTAATATTGGTTATCCACTTATTTATTTTAAATTTGTAAACATATTTTAAGATATATTGGTGGTTTTCCATTGCTGGATGGCATGGTTCCTAATTTTACAAAGTAATATTTGACACCATTTTAAATCCAGTAATGAAAGAATTTACTGTGTAATGATTGTTCTTTAAATCAAACTTATAAATCTTAATGATGTAGAGAGTTACAGATATTTTTATGTTCTAAAACACCTATTTTTGTAGTAACATTTATTATGAGTTAGTTTTATTCATTAGCAATCTTTACTAATTTTTATTTGGAATTTGGAAATCGTTTTAAAAGTATTGGAGCAGTTAATTAATTAGTTGATGGATTTAGATATTTTAGATTTGTTTTAAAGTGCTCATTTAATAATTATTAGTTATTTAAAACTCTATGATTTGTACAGCAAATGTTACTGTTAAACGTTTATTTAAAATGGAACTCATGGTCATTATATTTATATATTATAATTAATAATATCAACATTATTTCTGGATAGTATCCTCTCTCTACGACTTTTTATCAGGTTCTGAGACTATATTTCATTTTAAATAGTAAGTCTTTAGTTTACAAATGTATGTAATATATGAGATTATATGAAATAATAATAAAATATTTAAATTTTTCTATCTAATCTTTATTATTATAAATTTCAGAATTAAATATATTCATATTGAGTATATTGTAATTGAAGTAAATTATTATGGCGGTTGGAAATGAAGTGCCAAGTTCTCTGAAAATAGAGACATTGATCTCAGAGGTAGGCCAACAAATCAATTCTGACAAAGAAACTGTTGAACTGATTAAATTACAAGTAAAAGAAATTGAAAAAGGTGTTCTAAAAAAAGAACCCAGGTTCATCTTGAGGGTTGTCTGCACTTTACCAAAAACAAGGCAAGATAGTGTTGTATAAATTTATTTGTATTGCATATTTTTAATTTCCAATCTTTTCAATAATTTATTAAACAATTACTTTTGATCCTACTGCCTCAAGTTTCTCACAGATAACCAGCCAGACAGGTTTTGGCATCAATAACATTCCATCTTCTGACTCCGAACAGCAATAGGTTCTGCCTCAACGTCCTCTAACCATCTAATTACTATAATTTATAGCATAGCTTTTTAGAAAATTCAGATTGACACTTAAAGATCACTGTTGCTCCTAGTTTATGATTATTAACCATATAAATAAATCATCAGTGTACTATAAAAAGAGCTTATCTAAGAGTTGAAATTCATTGTGGAATTAAACAAAGCTTTTTCTCTATTTGACTTAATCACATTTCTACAGAGCACCAGAGGAAAAATAAATGAATGTTTTTTTTTCCCCCCAAAAAGTAGATATTCTGGTTCAAATATGGAGAAATTATGAATAGTATTTATATATGGTGTCTTCAAGGAATATATTAGCCTTATAATTTCAATTTTCTTATTTTACTTTTAACGATGTTTTGAGCTGATTAGCTCATTATCAAGTCATCAAAAAACATGTTTTTATCCTCTAGAATGCATTTCAATATTATAATTTCTTGAACAACTATTTGTAATACACCAAATGTCACAGGTAACTTCCTCGTTCCTCGTTCCAGGAATATTCCTCGTCATCATATTCCTTAAATGTTTGCGCATCAATTGATTTTGTCCCTTGTACGGTACTACCTCCTCCGTCTACTTTTCAATAAAAGTAGACAGAGGAGAGGTAGTACCATACGGGGGACAAGCTTCAATTGATGCGCAAACATTTAAGGAATTTCAATTTCAATCCTGATATATTTGTTTCTAATGTTGAATTTCACTCTTCTGAAATATGTTTATAACATATATTCCCATCTTCATCAAAATATTCTTTCCTTAATTCAATGTCTAATTTAAAACATATCTTTTGATACCCATTAATTGGTCTAATTGTAGGAACTGTGTTGGCAGCCTTGTTGCAAAATACTGCATCCGCACTCAAGTTCTGGTGGAATACACCACAGCAACTTATCTTCCGATAGACTTGACAACTCGTATTTATCTTCATCCTTTTTTATTGTATGGACAAATAGTGTAGATTCCATATTCTAAACTTCTCCGTGTAATTTAATTTGTAAGTTGGAAAAACTGATTTTATTATTCAGAAAAGAATAATCAAATTAATATAAATTACAATTCAGTAATCACAGTTGTGTCTGAATCTATAAGTACTAAGTAATTTATACATTTTAGAAAGAGATTTTTTCGCCATTGTTACATCATCAAATCTACAAATATAGAAGTTACAGAGTCACCGTATTCACATATTAGTAACTGATTTCATGAATCTAAAAATATATTTTTAATCAATATATTGATATAATTGCAATATTTTGGGCTTGATAAACTTTTTTAGCAAGCTTCCAGATTCCTCAGGCCATTTTTTAACTTCAGTTTATTCAAAATAAGTATAATATAAATAGGTTCCCTCCTGCTAAATGTCATACTGTTGGTGCTGTTTAGAATTTGTTGAAAACATGCTTGTTTTATCATGAAGAAGCATATTTATTTACTAAGAATTTCTGATCTAGTATTTTAAGAAATATTTTTTGTAAAAATAGAAAATATCCTAATAAAAATAAAATATTGATTATCTTGGCAAAATTTTATAAAATTCTGTTCCTCCTTATTAGAATATGCTATTAAATTAAGCGCTTTATTTGCTTGTTAAAAGAAATTCCATTGTGTTTAGTGGGAGAAACATGCATTGATTCTTGCCTTGAATGTTGAGGTTTTTAGAATGAATATATAACCCAATTCTTATGAAATTTTTAATCATTTTATTTTTAATGATTTTTGGTAGTCAATCAAGTTAAATAGAAAAACAAACCATAAATACCGCTCTTATATAAATATATTTTTAATTTCAATCCATATTGTCAGGCGCCATCAAAGTTTTGAATATATTATACAGAGTATGAAAATATAATATAAATGTTTCTAAGGACTTATTAGTGGGGATATAATATTAATATTTTATACTAGCAGTTGGCCATAGTTATTTTATAATACATATGTATATACTTGTATTCATAGGCAGAAAAAAACCAATTATATTTTGATTATATATTATATTTGATGATATATTATATATTTTGAGGGCAGATGACTTATTTATTTTCCTTGACTAATCCCATCAATATATCCTTGATGAATTGTAGTTCTCCTGATATATTATTTGATTTATTCTAGGAAAAAACTTAATAGGGATGTTTTTATGTCTGTACTTCCTGAATATTATTATTTACATGATGAAGTTTTCAAGTGGATTCCATCTAAAGGAAGAATAACTAACATAGATGAAAATATTATTATTCCTATATTACCAGAAATCGATTCGTATCTTCACCTCCTGATTTTGATTTATCTATTAGATTGTGGTAATTTTATGGTTGCTGTTCCTTGTTCCAATAAGTTGATATCTAAGGTTAGTAAAACATTTCTTTTCTAATTACTATTTTAAATCTAACAAGATAATAAAAATATTACAATAATATTAAATGAAATACAATTATAACTCATTACAAAGAGAATGAAACGTTGAAAATTTTCCTCACTCTAATTTTAATCTAAATGTAAAAACACTGAAATTAGTCGATTGGAACCAACTTAACACAAGTGAGTGTTACATATCCAAGCGTGATGGCTCAGTCTCATTCATTACCCACAACGTGCAAAGTTTTCACTTCAAAAATATTTTTCTTTAAGATAACAATTTTTTATTTTTCACCAATATATTTATCATATAAGCAATACATATTTTTTCTTTATATTTTTTTAGTTATTCTTAAATTATACCTTCCATACCATTATACCTTCCCCACCACACCTTTTCTTCTCTAACTACTTAGTCTCATAGGAACTCTAGCAGTATGCCCATTGTATTTTTAGCTATTATATCTATTATGTGTATTATCTTATCCAAGCTTTTCAATATCAATATAGTTAACCATCTTATGTGGGCAGGGTGACCGAACGGGCTAACATGTGAGCACTGCCGTTGCCCGGCAACCTGATAAGATACAATGATAAAATATAGTCACAAGTTCGCCTCCCGGTGTCGGGGAAGTCTTTTAAATCCCCGCCCACACTCCCTGGCCTGGGAAAACACCGTATAGCCGTAAAGGCAAGGAAGGGGAGGACAAAAAAAAAAAAAAATAAAAAAAGTTAACCATCTTATAAGTAAGATCATAGCATTTAATATTATCAAAAATTGCTGGTTTTATATTTATTACTTATTAGGATTTATATATTTCTTGTGTCTCTGATTGGGTTGCAGTGCTGATGATAATCGTTTTCAAGAAGAACTGAGTCCTGATTACTTAACACATATGTTTTGAAACAATCGATGTTCTAATTTTTTTTCCTTTAGCAGAAGTTTTTCATGGTTTATTTCTATGTATATCATCACAGAGCTCTATCCTTTACCACATGAATGCCTAATCTTTTTCACATTTTATCTCTATCAATCAGCATTTGCTTTATTGGAAGATTTTTTTTTTTTTTTTTTTGTAATTTGTTTAAGATACATCTTGATATTGCATCGATAAGTTCAGAACTTAAAAATATAATGAGTAAAACTGTAAAACTATTTCCTCATTGGAATATCAGAAAAAATAAATCTTTTTGAAATAAAAAATAATTATGTGCTTACCCAGTTTATAGGTCTGATCAGAATGACTGTATAACTCTCAACTTGAAAATTACTTCCTTAAGTAACCATGAAAACGGAATTTTTAATCACGTTATTTACATGTTTTGCGATCCTGTAAGATAAAAAAACTGATTTATTTAAAAGGTTTCTATTATAAAGAAATATTGTTTTTCTAAACTCCAATACTGTTTTTTACTAATCTTAAGATCTAGTAGTTCATTTAGATTAATTAAGTAGTTGGTAGCTATATTTTGTACACTGGATCCTGGCCTTCTCAAGTAGCTTCCTCTAATTTATTTGATTTTATGAAGCTGTCCTCCAGCTTCAAACACCAAGCAGGTTCCTCAAATCATCTTTTATAGCATCAAGCTATCACAATTTAGTGCAGCCTCTTGGTCGTATTCCATGCTGTTCCTCATTGAGAAGGTTTCTTGGAATATCATGGGCATCTATTCTGGCCGATCGAAGCCTGTTTAGCATTATTACTTTAACAACATCCAGTTTTCCTAATAAAGAGTACAGTTCTCCATGTTATGTTTTCTTTTAGTGGATGTAAATAAATTGAAGGATCGTTTTTTTTTTTTAAATATACATAGGTCTCGTTCATCACTTTTAGAAAAAGCCATTTTAGATCCAGCTGATTAGTGAATTTTAGATCTTTATTTTTGTCGCTCTTGAAAGCAAACTTCTCCCTAACTGTGAACGAAGTCCATAATAGCATTTTCTAGCAGAGGGTATTTTTCTTCTTATTTCAGCCAAGATATTATTTTCTTTACTTGAGACCACAGATAAACAAATTTACTAACATGTTCAAATTGTTTCAGTACTATTATAATAATGCTATGGTTAAAAAATATAGTAAAATATTGAAGAATATATATCTAGCAATATGATGGTTATGTTTTAGGATTCTCCAATTCTTCCAAATTAATTTTTTTTTCATCAAATTTTCAACTTATAAATATATGAGTTTGAATTAACTAGTTTTATTAATTTCATATAATTTTATTTGCAGGTATGAAATTTTTCTATTAATTGCTTTAATTTTGTTGCTTTTTTTAAATATGTTTAATATGTATTTCTTGCAATTTTGTTCTATTATCATGTAACTATTTGATTATTACTAAATTATTTCAGGTCTGTGATCAGAACAGGCGAAGCATGAGTTTAATTGCTGCAAAAGCATATTTTTACCATAGTCGAGCCTACGAATTAACAGGTAAACTTCATAAATTAATTTAAAATAAAATTAATAATATTATTCAATAATAATAATAATACATAATTGGGAGCTGGGTAGCTCAGTGGGTGAGCACTGGCTTCCAGAGCTCGAGGTCCTAAGTTCGAATCCGACTAATGACTAGTGATTTTTCATTAACCATGGATCAATCCTGAGGTCAGGAGACCCTCATGGGGCACACCCGGGATCTATAAAGTGGGTACCCTTAATCAAAAAAATAATTAAGGAAGAAAACCTGGCACCCAGGTGGAGTTAGGCTGATCTCCCATCGGGCGCCTTCTCAGGTGGCGGATCGGGGAAAGCTCATCAGATATGGTGGGTACTGGGGAAATAAAATAGCCTGTGGGTAGATCAAAACCAGCCAGGGGAGGGGGGGATATCCAAGCCATGGTGAAGACAACCTCCCTATGGCATGAGAAGCCTTAAATAAAATCTGGCCCTCCAGGTTGGTGGTTGGTCGTTGGGCTAGTAACTCAATCCTGAAAAAATTCTAACCTATTGTGAATCCTGAGCAAAGAAAAGCCGGATTGATCTCATGGTTATGATGTATTACCCGTCTAAAGAACATTCGATCAGGATCTTTGAATGTATTGTCACTTAATCGAGGTGAAGCATTACAGCTACTCTTAAACCAACTGAACACCTATAGCTGCAATCCATTATATCCGGTGGCTTGGAAACTGAATGATAGGGAAGGGTAACCATACCGTATATTATAGCTGCAATGAAAGTCATCATACTTTTGGTTTTGCTGTGGGTGGAAGGAAGTGTCTCACCTTGTAATTGGCTTTGAAGCTATCAATCCCAGATTGTGCTATCTAAGACTAAGAGGCAAATTCTACAATTACAGTCTTCTGAGTGTACATGAATTCACTGAAGTCTCAGAGGAAGGGGATAAAGATTCACTTTACAGCGCTGTGGAATATTTCTTGACCGATGCCCACCCTCTAATATAAAGCTGGTAATTGGAGATTTCAATGCACAAATCGGGAAAGAATCTGTTTTTCGACCCACCATAGGAAAACACAGCCTCCATAATGGGTATAATGATAATGGGAAGAGGCTTATCCACCTGGCACCATTGATGTTGCTAAACAGGGCTTAAATGCTAAATTTTCAAAATTTCTTCCACTTAAGGACCTTTAATTTGTTTTATTTTAAATAATTAACTGTCTTTCATTGTTAATAGTAACAAAAAAAAGGCTCAATATAACCTTTGAAAGAATTTGATAATTGACTAAAGGAGAAAAAAAGAAATATGTTTTTTAAGATCAAAAATGAATTTCCAGAAATAATTATCACATGTTATACATATAATATATTGTTGGAAAGCTGAGAATTTTAGAAAAAACAATATCTACCATACAAAGTCGTAAAAGGTAATGGAGAGAAAAAAAATTACAATAATAATTTCTGAAAACTAATATTACTTAATGGAAACCATATTTTTCCAAGGAAATTATCTAAATAAATATAAATTTTTAAAATAATTTTTGTTTGAAAAAAGTATTTAATCCACCGAATCAATGTAATGACATTGTTTAAAAACTATTTCCTTCTACTTGCGTGAAAGAAGAAGTTAAATATAAAATATTTCATGGTTGTGTAAAACATGTTTATAACCTAAATACAATTTATGTAATTTAATAACTCTATATTTAATAATATATATTTAAATAATTAGATATGTATCATCAGTTAATTTCAAAAAATCATTTTAGAAAATTTGATTAGTGAATAATTTCATTTATTTTTCATCTATGAAATCACATCATTATCCACTTATTATTAGTGTGACAACTTTTGACTTATCAATGGTGGACAATGAATATCTCTGAACTCCATTAGGATAAACTTTGCTATGGAAAAATAAGAGTTTAATAACTAATAGTAATACAATCCATAATCATTAATAGGTTAAATATACAGATGTACTTTCAAACTTCTCTAGGCATATATAGCTCAGAGACTAGAGCTATGTGGTATACAAAAACAGATATTGAGATAAAATAGACTAATTGAGTTACACATAATTGTAAAGAGAGTTGCCGCTCGGGTAGATGCGGAACGTAACAATAAATAAATAAAAATAAATAAAATTATAAAGAGATTGAATGACGAGCGTTTTAATGCCTACTGTCGATAAAATAAATAGGGTTTGTGTTATTTTAATGTTCTTAATGAGTTGTTAAAGGTTAGCTGTAAGGTTTGAGGTTTAGCTCTGTTAAAAATGCACTATAGAACTTTGTAATACCCCAATTTTGCCAGGAAATAATTTATTTTCTAATTAGAGCGGTAAGTAAAAGTTGTGTGATGTGTGCACTAGATTTTTAGTTTGGTAATCTTAAATTATTCAGTGAGATCTCCTTAGTGTTTTGAAAGCAAGGAAGAGGGGAATTAGGTTTTTTTGTTGTCTGTTAAAAGTTATTTATAACGATGTTTTGAGGGAATGGCTTGATCAATTTTTAAGTTTGATGAATTACAGAAATTGGAAAATTCTATCCACCCCAAGGAAATGTATTTCCATATCTACTAGTCTTGTTGGTACATTGATTTGAAAATTGACATCTAAGAATGTTTAAACTTGGTGTGGCAGTTGGCTATTCACCACTCCTGAACACATTCCAAGTCTTGGATTTTGACATGCATTGACACATGGGGTAAAATCCACTTGCTTGGAGCCAAAATGTGTAGTGAAAGGCACCTAATTATTACACCAAGTTTAAAAATACGTAGATGTTGATTTCCCAATCTACCAAGATGTTTAAGAAGATATGGAAGTACATTTCCTTAGGGTGGATAAGATTTCCCTATTTCCGTAGTCGTTGTTTTAGAAATTGAAGTACTTTTTTATTTTGTTACAACCATCAATTTAATTAATCTGTACTGAAGCTCATTGACAAGGAAGGAATAGGAGTCTGTCCAATTGGAGGCTGATTAAATATTCCCCATTACTTATGGGACACCCTCTACGTGTATAATATATATATATTAGGGAGCTCAAGATTTTAGAAGAACTAGTCTAACATATAAAGTCGTTGGAGGTAATGGAGATTGACAAAAAACTTATGACTAGTACTTTCTGAAAGTTATTATTTTAAAGAAATTAATTGTTTCCATGGAAAGTGAATACAATTTTCAAACAGAATGGAAATTTTTACATTTATTTTTAATCTTCATCAACCAAAAATATGTAATGTATTGAATCATTATTTATAAACTATTATATAATAATTTCGTGAGAGAAGATATGAAAGAGGTGCATGCTGCTGAAAATATTTCAAGCAGTGTTTAGAGGTTGAAGAAAACATAGTAATTATCTTTAATAACTTTAGCCACTTAATAACTTTAGTAATTATATGTAATACAAATTTAAACAATTACATATTAACTAGATTATCAGCAGAAATTTAATTATTTAAAAAGGATGGTAAATGAAAGTCATGTGATGTACAGACTGCACTAGATTTTTTTAGTATGTCATTCATGTAATTTTATCCTGATCTGTTTCAGGTCAACTTGAAAAAATTCGTCCCTTCTTTCTTTCCTGCTTAAGGACCTGTACCTTAAGAAGTGATTCTCTTGGACAGGCAGTTCTTATTAACTGCCTTCTTCGTAACTATTTGGAATATAACCTTTATGATTTAGCTGATAAGCTTGTTAGTAAAATCGATTTTCCAGAAAAAGCCAATCATAATGAGTGGGCAAGATTTTACTATTACATTTCTAGAATAAAGGTAAATGAATAAACTGCAATGGTATTATAATTGAAAAAATGTTACTCTTATTATTAAAAATCATTGGTTCATTAAATGGTGACAGTAAATGTTTTTTTACTTTCATTATATAAGTATATGTAATGTATAGTGAGGGAAAGTATTACGATCTTGAAAACTTTCGAAATTGAGTTTTCAACAGAAATACATGGTTTTAGGTCCCCAGAGTCCAAATAACCAAGGCCTGCAAAATGGTCTTTGCGTGTGTAAACATCCTAGCTCAAAAATGAAAAATCCTAAGAAGCTGAAATTGCGAATTTGTTTTATGTGTGGCTGGAATATTACAGAAATTTTTTCACTAACAAACAGATAACTAGAAATGCCACTTTGTATCATCGCTTTTTAACATTTTTACAATTTTCTTGAAATTGGCTCTAATGATTTTGATTAAAATCATTATATTAGTGTAAAATTAAGCATTTTTTAATATAATGTAGTTATTATTTTCATTGATGTTCTCTAACAGGGTTTAAATGTCTAATTTTCAAATCTTCTTTCTCTAAAGTACCTTTAATTTTTACTTTCACTTACGTATATATGTTATTACATTATATATTATAATAAGGGTAAGTATTCCGATCGCGAACATTTTTAAATCTGAGTTTTCAATGGAAATACATATTTTGGAATTTGGTGGAAGGGTGAAACATATTTTTAAAATTTTGTCAAAAAGGCTTTAACGATTGAGATTAAACTCTGTGTATCATTGTATAATTAAGTGGTCTTTAATATCATTTAGGTCTTATCACCATTGATGTCACTTTACAGGACTTAAATGCAATGTTCATATGCGTCTTCCTCTAAAGTACCTTTACTATGGTTATTTTAAATAATTAACTATCTCTCATTATTAAGAGTTACGAAAAAATGCTAAATATAACTTTTGAAAGAATTTGATAATTTAATAAAGGAGAAAAATATAAAAATGCTTATCCAGGTCGAAAATGAATCTCCGGAAATACTAGTCAGAAGGTATATGTATAATATATCTTGGAGTGGAGAATTTTATAAATAAAAAAAGTTGTAGAAGGTATTTCATAGGTACGTTTATAACCGTAAATATATATTTATATATTTACTGCAGTACCAGAAAATAATTTCTATTCAAAGGTGAGCGGTAAGTGAAAGTTGTGTGTTGCGCACACCAGTTTTTTTATGTTAAATAATTAACGATTTCACATTATCAACTGATATCAAAAATGGTTAAATATATTTAATGATTGGAAAAAATTTATTACTAACTAAAGGAGAAATAAGAGTTGGAAGCTGTACGGAAACAGCCGAGTGCACCCGACATTTGCCAATTCTCTCCCTTTACAGTAACATGATACCCCTCTGTACAAGGCTTTCATATTGGTAGTTTAGCTTTTATATATCACTTATCCATAATTTTTATAAAAAGTTGTCATGTGAATCATTGACGAGCTACTAATATAAACCTAATAATATACAATATTTATTAATATTAAGTTAGTGACGAGTAAGTATGTTTTAAATGAGTTTCGTGATATATGTTTCCGATAAAACTCCGAATTTTTCCAAAAAACATTTATCCCCATAATCATTATTATTGTTTAATATTATATAAAGTTTTTAAAGGAAATGGAAGTTGATGCAATTGTATGAAGTTAACAGATTTGATAGGTGGAAAAACCATGCTAATCAATTGTTTTAAATGAAGTTATACTGTCGTTTTTACTTTGACTTTCCTTTATATGAAAATACCTATCTATAAGTGGAAGTTGTGTAATACGTGCACCGCACCAGATTTTTTAGTTTCTCACCAACATTTTTTTACATGTCTTTATACTTCACAGCACTGAGTAAAAAATCACATTTTCAGCCATTGGTCTGTGCCAATATTATCTCTTGAATAGACCTGGGTAGAATTTGTTTGAAACCTTCCCCAGTTATTTCGGAAATAATTTATTTCTTGAAATAACTTAAGCATTATTTCCAAAATAATTATTTCTGAAATAAATTATTTCAAGATTAATGTCATGATTATTTCTGAAATGATCATTCTGATAGACGCATAAGGGAATGAAATAACCATAATAAAAATCCTGTTTTTCACTCTAAATTTAGTTTTCGTTTATACCTGTTTTGCTTTCTGGACTTGAGGCATTATATTTACTCCTGTTTGAGATACTTTTGTCTCTATAGAGACTGAGTGTGCCCAACAAAAATTTCATATTTTCTTATGTTCCATTTTATTCCCTGCAATTAGACGGACTTGAGGCATTTATTTACTGCTATTTGAGAAACTAGTCTCTATAGAGGCTGTGTGCCCAAAAAAAAATTCATTTTATGTTCTGTTTTATTCCCTGCAATTAGACTAGTGTTGTAAAAACAAGGCTCGAGGTCCAACTCGAGCCGTGAAGGCTCAGATCTAGAGCCTTTAAACCTCGAACCTCTAAAGCTAGAGTTCTAGCCTTGATGAATTTATTAAACAAAAAAAAAATTAAATTATTGTACATTTTCTTAAACAAATATATTTTTTCTGTTAGTTGTAACAATGGGTATATATTTCCGAAATTTTTGGTGTCCTTCTCAGCAATATATTATGAGTAGGTGGGTGATACTTAATTTTATTGTTATTTTTTATGGTGGGGGGAAGAGGGTTTAACTCTCCCCTCCTCCCCCCAATTTTTTTTTTTAAATGATGGAATAGCAATGTGATTACTAATTAATTGTAATCATAATTGTAATAATAAATAAATTGTAACTATAATTGTAATTATAAAGATATAAGTGATTGGGTTGGGTATGTGGGCGTTACTTTGTTTTTATGAGGGGGATTAATCCTCCTCTCTGAATGTTTTTTTATAAGATGGCAATATGTTTGGCTAGGTGGGTGATCCTTTGTTAAACTTTTTTTGAGGGGAGGGGAGGAAGGGGGTCCCTTGGGAGATAGGAGAGATAGCAGTCAACTCTCCCTCCCTCTGAATTTTTTTAAAAAGATAAAATGGTAATATGTTTGGTTCGATGGGTGATATTTTTTCAACTTTAATTTTTTTTTCTTGGTGGGGGCGAATTCCACTCCCCTTCATTTCCCCGATCGTTTTTAAAGAATGGTATGTTGACAATGTTTCACCTACCCAAACTATTTTTTCCCTTAAATTTTTTTGGGGAGGGAGGAATCTCAATAACAAGGGGGAAACAATAGGTGCAGAACAACAACAAACCGAACATTGTTTCAGTTAAAACCATAATTCAAGGAACCGCCATAGATGTAATACTTCTAACAAACATAATTTAGAACAGTTTAGTTTACTGTACTATAAAAATCGTAAAACAATTAAAAAAGTTATTAACTAACATATTGTAAAAAACAAGTAAGGTTCGAGTCATGACTCGACTAATTCTAATTTCAACATTCTTTATTATTAATTTTATTGATGTTTCTAGGGGCAAAATTTATACCTTTATTCACAGTTCTATATTTTAACACTGTAATCACCTACTCTGGAATCAACTTACTCACTATCTGCATAGATATAACTATTCCAACTAGAAATATCAATAAAATGACATTATTCACAAATGTTGAAATTGGAGTTAGTCATTCTGTCAACTGAAAGGCTCAGAGATTGAAGTTATGTAGTTTATAAAATCTGATGGAGTAACTAGATTTTTATTGCCTACCATCGATATAATAAATATACTTTTTGTAATTTTACTGGTCTCAATGATTTGTTATATGTAAGCTTTAAGCTTTAGCTCCGTTTAAAATGCACTTCAAAAAATTTATAATAGCCCAACACTGTCTGAAAATAATTTATATTCAAAGCAGACCGTTAAGTGAAAGTTGTGTGTTGTGCGCACCAGAGTTCACTGACTTGATATTTCTGGATGAATCCAACAATATTTAAACTCCTTTATACATTTATATTTCATTTCTAAAATATGTTTGGAGTTAAAAATCAATAGTAAAAATTTATAATTGTATTGGAACAACTTGAATAAAAACATATTAAACTCATCGAGATATTGCATTGTTGATATCATTTTAGCTTAATGTTGATTTTTATAAATATATATTTTTATAAATAGGTTACTCGATTGGAATATTCTGAAGCTCAGAAAACTGTTACCTTAGGATTAAGGAAAGCTCCTGAAAAAACAGCTGTAGGATTCAGGCAAGCTGCCAATAAACTTGCAATAATTATTGAATTACTTCTTGGTGACATTCCTGACAGAAAAATATTCAATGAAGTAATGATGAGGAAATCATTGGAACCTTATTTAGAGGTCAATTATATTTTTTTTATATTGTTGCTTTCATGTTGTATAAAAAAATAAAATCATAGCTATTTGTTTAATATAATATAAAATAATAGGAGTCTCATACATGAAAACAGTTTTTAAATTATAGATAATATTACTTTCTATTTTTAGCTAACACGGGCAGTAAGAGATGGCAACTTAACTAATTTTAGTGAGGTCCTAGAAAAACATGGCAATACTTTTAGATCAGATAGAACTTTTAATCTTATATTAAGACTTAGGAGAAATGTCATTAAAACAGCAGTAAGAGGGATAGGCCTGGCTTATGCCAGAATTAGCACTGATCAGGTAAGACACTTTTTATAACTCGAAAGTTAAATATATATCTATTTTTTAATTCTATTTTCAATCATATTGTGGCTGATAGGTATGCCTGATATTCGCAACAGTGGGAAGTATTTTATGTCTAGGTAACAACAAACTGGTATTAGCAAAACAAAAAATAATAATGCTGCATAAAATATTACAATAATGAGCTGTGCACACAGCTTGCTGTTCTTTTCTTAGGTTTGGCCTCAGTATTCTCCCATCCATCCTCTGGTGGCCTTCCAGGTGCCCTTACCTTACAGGTGTGCTGAAGAGGCAATATGCTCGGAGGTCTCTGATATTCCACAACTGGGCCATAGGATATAGAAAAAGTTAAATAAATGTTGATTAATTCCTTTAATGAATACCTAACATTTGTTAGAGGATAAATAAGATTATTAAAACTCAGTTGGAATGGGATTTTCATACTCTTTGCTGTTTTATGTTTCTTTTTAATATATTCTTGATTTTAGGGATGAAATAAAAAAAAAAAAAAAAAAATCTTTTAACTTCCTCTCTTTAGATTTATTAGCTCATCTAAAAAAATAAATTCATGAGAAGCAATCATTAACACATTTTTTTTCATTCTTTTTTTTTCATTAATTTTTTTTTAACAGAAAACATATTTATTTTTTATGCTATTATTTCAATTGTGAAATATATTATATATAACTTGTTTTTTTTTGGGAGGGGGGGAGAGGAGGAGGCATAAGAGAGCATATGGATTAATGCCAGAGTGAAAGTTCCCCTGGCATCCGGATTTGAACTTGTAAACTTTGGTTTATCAAGTATTTTACTCAGGGTTCAGCCTGCTCGACCACGCTGCTCCTATATATAACTTGCTACTGTTGAGTAATTAATTTACTAATATTGTAGATGAAGAGTTGTTCAAAGTCTTTTTTTTCGACAATTTATGGGTATTCCCAATCCAAATTACTAACAGTTATACAATAAATATCCATAAAAAACAACAATGCTGTTAAAATGTCCCATCAGCTGACCCTTTCCTTCCTATGTATTTACCATTCCTATCCCAAGTGTATCACTTCTTCTAATGTACAGGAGCACCATTAGGTGTGTGACAGGGCTGTATACTGGTCACTGTCGACTCAATAAGCACCTTTTTAACTCAGGCTTAATTGAGACCCTCACCTGGTGGCTGTATAACCTGAAGGATGAGACTGCTTATCACATTATCTGCAGATTTGATAATTTGGCCAGACTGCAGTACTTTCACTTTGGAAGTGATCCTAAGCTCTGTGAGTTAATAGATTCCATTAGCCTTCAAAGTTTGCTAGGCTTATATCCCACTAGTTTGCAAAGACATCTGTGCTGTTTTAACAGAGTTTAGGATGATACATAATAGGTCTCAAGGTTGTGGTGCATCCTTCTGATATTCATTCATACAATTCACACTCAATCCAAATGGGACCATGTATAATAATGTCCTAAAATTTAGAAAACAGCCATTCATGCAGTTTGCACCAATTCAAAGGGCACCATATACAATAGAATATTCTAACATTTAGCATATGCAAATGACAAGTTAATAGCGAGATCAATAGCAACCCTTCTGGGTGTTTTTCAAGACTTTAAGATGTCAGCAAGTAAATTGGGTTTACAAGTCAATAAAATCCTAAAGTATGTATATTAAGACTAGAGATGACCAACAATAAGACAAGGTGGAGCTGGAAAGAAGATTTGGTCAATATGTTTTTAATGCAATAAGGCAAGTCAAATATTTCGCTATTGAAAAAAATTAAGCGATGGTAGAAATAAACACATTAATGAAAGCAAACAATAGATATTTCCTCACACTACAGAAACCACTAACATTCAAAAGAATAAGTAATAGCTTTAAGGAAGAATGCACGACAATGATAAGATTTTTAGTGACCTATGACCATGAAACCTATGTACTTACCAAAGAAACCGGAAGATTATTGGATGCATTTGAATGAAATTTATGGATCTAACAATCTATCTGAGAAGACAGTACAGTTTGAGGAACATCAAAGAACTTCGATACATATCAGGAACAACAAGATCGTGAGACATTATTAAAAAGTGTCAATTAAGAACATGTCGAAAGAATGCCTGCGGGTAGACCAATAAAATACTTCTGGAGAAATAGTGAGGAGGACAAAGACTAAGAGTGTTACAACCACAAAACAGGTTACCGAGAACAATGTTGAGAAAACTTCAGGAGTAAAAAGATGGAGGAGATAAGCCCTAGAGAAAGCAGAATGGCAAAAGACTTCTAAATTATTTTTAGAACTTTGAATCAAACCAGACTGAAACGACAAGAAACCGTTCAACATTTCCGATTACTTTAGCACTCACTAGACAAATGCTGTAAACTTCCAATTTATTACAAAAGACTCATATACATGACTATAATAAGGGATATTTGGACTTACGGAGTTGAGCTATGGGGCTCCACTGAACCATTGAATTCCTCTTGTATCCAATCGTTACAATCCAAAATCCTTTATAAAATTCTGAATGCTCCCTACTTTGTTACAAATAAAACCATCCATAATGATCTTAATGTTTCAGATCTGGTCCAATCCAGATACCTATTCTTCCATAATAAACTTCAGAATCATCCCAACCCTCTCGTTTCTAACCTTGCTTACTCTTCAATTCCTAATTACCGTTCGAGGCGTCTGAAAAGAAGATGGTCCCGTGATCTCCTAATGTAGACATATCATTAGATTGCTATCATTGGGTAGTTTCCCAACAAGTGTTTTCACGCCATTGTATCAATATGTTCAAATTTACTAAATGTATTTCTTTAATACAGTTGTAAATATCATTAAGAAAAAAAAAAAAACTTTGAATCCGTACTAATGACACAAAAGAGACTAGAACAGGTCAAAATTAACATGTAAGCAAATTATCAAATCATTGGGTTCATTTGTCAAATACCCTCAAGGACAACACTTAAAATCTACTAGGAAAAATGGCATTTTAACTTTTTACTTCAGCTTCCTTAAGTTCGATTGCACTGAAAATTTAGATACACTCTCTCCTCTTATTAAAACATATTTTTGTTAAATTTCAAGCTTATTTATTTATATTGACTTTCCGATGGAGATCCAGATACTCTAAAAATTCATATTATATTGGGAAAATACTCGAAAAAACAGCATTTTTTTTTTTATTAGTGTGGATTAGTTTAGTGTGATTTTTTTAGCTAGGTGGATTGTAAATGATTCATTGTAGGTGGATTGTAAAAATGACATGTTCTCAGATGTTAGATGAACTGCATTTAATCTGGATATTTTTTTGCTATTTATAATTTTTATTTTCAGTTTGTGTTCAGCTTTGATATAGATCATGTTCTGATAACTTTATCATAATATCTTTTTCATCATGCTGTTTTAATGAGGATGTTTAACTTTTTTAGATTGCTGTAAAATTAGGAGTTGACAGTCCTCAAGAAGCAGAATATATTGTTGCCAAAGCAATAAAAGATGGTGTTCTTGAAGCAGTTCTAATTCCTGGATATATGGTATCCCTAGAAATAGGTGATATATACAGGTATGTGATTACATTTTAACGAAGATAGCTATAAATTAAACTAAATTTTTAATATAAATCTAATAAGGGGAGACTATGGAAGTGGGATGATCAGATGTCCTGCTTTTGGTGGGACAGTCCCAATTTTTAACAATATGTCCCGTGTCCTGTGGCGTTTTAAAATAGTCACAATTTTTGGAAAAAATGCATGAAAAGCTAGGAAACGGCAGGAGAACGGGAAAAGAATATACACTTTTCAGTGGCCATTCACCAGGATATGAGTTTATATTATTTTTGTTAATTTTATGATGTTAAATATTAATAATACCGAATAATTGTTACCAAAGGTTGCATTGTTGATCAGTTGTTAGAATTCAATCACCATTGTTTGGAATTAATAAACCATCCGAGAATGATCTTTTTAATTAGATATTATTAAAAAAATATATTGATAAGGATCTTTGGCTTCAGCAAATTAACTTTATTTGCTACTTCAATTACCGAAATTTTGTCACCTTTAATAACTTTTATAACATTTTGAAAAAGAGCTGTTTGATTGAGTACGAACTGCTTGCACAAAACATCTAATTCTCAAAAACTGTGCTATGATTGAAGTCATAAATTAGATGTTAAATACACCATCAAATTATTCGTTCTCAAAAATATGTCTTTAGAACTAAATTCTCAAACTTATTTGCAGTTGAATACTATGTCACCTGGTTAAGATTTGCACCAGATTATCATTATGTAAAATTAACTATTGTAACAACAAATTTCGGTCAACATTCTTATTGCTACTGACCTACGTTAGTGAATCATGGACTCTTACATCAAGACATAGGAGCCAAATAAAAGGAATGGAGATGAGGTACCTGAGGAAGATAGAAGAAAAGACTAGAAAGGATATGGTCAGAAATACGTCAATTAAAAGTAATTTGGAAATAAAAGCGGTCGTACATATAATTGAAGAGAATTAACTACGGTGGTTTGCTCATGTTAAAAGAATGCAGGGAGAAAGAATTGCCAAAACTACATATGAAATGAGAATTGAGGGAAGAAGGCCTAGGGGAAATCCAGGAAACACTTGGGAAGGTGCAGTCCAGGAGGCATTCAACAGGAGAGGAATGGACTGGAACAGGTGCAAACAGCTGGTACAGGTTTGAGACTCTTGGATCGGGCTCTACAAGCTGGAGAATCCCTCATACTGCTCTGCAGTAGAAGAGGGCAAGGCTAAGAAGTAGAAGAAGAAGAAGTAGTTTTAATTTACTCTTTATACTTCAACAGAAAAATAATTAAAATTGATTCCAGAAATTTTATTTTGGTTGGCTTTGGTGGATTTTTGTTGACCATTCGTTTGTTTTTCTATCAGAGATTTTATGTGATTGAGTATTATAGGATACTCCTTTTCATCCTTTTAAATAGCCTTATTTGAAAACACAAAATGAAACAAACAAGCAATTATAATTTATTTTAAGCATAGATGATAGTTTGATTTTTTTATTTATTTGATTTTCAGAACTATGGAGCCAACAAAAAACTACAATAAACGGATAGCTTTTTGTTTAGAGTTGCACAATTTAAGTGTTAAGGGTATGCATTATCCTGTAAAGAAGTATGAATCCAGACTCATTCCAGATCAAGATATTGAAGAAGATTTTGATATTGACTTTATATGAATCTAATATTGCTTTTCCATCAAAAGTAAATGTCATCTGTTCTTTTCAGTTTGTTAGAGTTTTTGATACATTATATTATAGTTTGATAAATTTCATTGTTTTTTTTAAATCTTCCATAGGTCCATTATTTAATACTGTAATTTTATTAAGTATTTATTATAAGTAAACTTTATTGTATTTAATGTAATTTTAATTTTAAAAAGTAAAAATACATACATATATATATATATATATATATATATATATATATATATATATATATATATATATATATATATATATATTATATAACCTCGGAAGATAGCTTTATACTGTTGGAATACTTCCAAATAAATAAGAAGTTATTGAATAATAAACAAAATTATAGGAGTAATAATATATTTATTTATCTCAGGTGTGGATTACTGACAATCAGATCAAAACACTCAGACAAATTAACATTAACTATACTAAACATTAGAGTTCTAAGTCAAAATCCTAGCTGAACACACCTCGCTGAAGAAGACCTGCTAAGTCGGGTTGAAACGTTGGCTTTTAATAAAATAGTTTTACCACTATTTAGCCTATTTATGACTTCCACCCCGGACCATCTCCTTCCTATATAATGCAACGGTTACCTATCAAATATTCAATATACTAAACACTGTTTGATTTTAAAATAAAGCAAAATATAAGATCATATTTAACAACATTAAATGTTACCAGAATTTATTTAATATCAGTTCATTTTCATGTACCAACATACTAGCAATATGTGTAGCGGAAACATGGTTGACGGACAATAAATTTATCATACCACCTTGGTTAAATAATTTCATCCACTTTAGTAGCAACGCCATTAAAACTAATCAACGGGGTAGATCGAGTGGAGGTATCATTACTTTCATAAATGACTCAATAATAAACAATAAAGAAGCTATTACCGTACTAAAAATTAACCAGTATATGATCATAGTATCTTTTAACTTTAATAATAAAACTGTATTGCTGGGAAATGTTTACTTATCCCAGGAATGTGATTTTGAAGAGTGTCTGCAGAAAATCAGTAGGACCGTATCTAATATCATATCTAGCCACCCTGATACCAACATAATTTTATGTGGAGATTTTAATGGGCACATTGGATATTTAAATAATTTGGAATCTGATTTGTTCCAGAATACCAAAAATAATGCAAAAATAAATTGAAGGAGTAAGCTGTTGGTCGAAACAATGGAATCGATGGGGCTATTAGTATGTAATGAAAGATGCCCTTCAGACAGACCAGGAAAATACACTTACATTTCAAAAAATGGTAATAGCACTATTGATCTTATTTGGATTAATGAAAATACTCCGCAAATAGTAAAAGACATGGAAGTTTTTGTTTTCTCTGATTACTCAGATCATTTATCTTGCATTATTTCAATTAGCTCCCCATCCACTAATTTTATGAAAATGTGTAACCCTTTTGAATATGTAAAATGGGAACAGGCTAAGGTTGGAGACTTCCGAGGTTGTCTACTCAATTCATCCGTCATATATTTCAATTCTGAAAATAGTGAAAACTTGTACGACAAGTTTGTCATGTCTATATATGAGTCATTAACCGATTGTTGGCTGATGGTGCGCAAAAATAAATCTTATTCTCAAACTTGCAGTTTCAAAAATAGATGGTATGATAACAAACGCCAAGAACTAAAAGAACTCTGAGGAAAAAATACAGAATAATGCTTAAAAAAAATTATTCACATTATTCATTAGAAGACTATCTTGTAACAAAATTTAACTACAAAGAATATATTAAGGATAAAAAATCCAGCTACCGTAATATGATCACAAATAAATTGCAAAATGTTAAAAATAGTAGTGAATTTTGGAAAGTCATACATTCTCTTAAGGCAGTAAACATCCCATGCAATGAAATAAATATTGATAGGTGGTAGAACATTATAAAGATCTATTTGGAGAAAAACTGATCTTAGAAACACATTTCTTTTCTGTAACTCATCCACTTAAGCCATTTTTATTAGAGGAACTTCAAACAGTAATACAATCAAGTAAAAACAGGAAATCTCCGGGTCACTACAACATCATATATGAGGTTTAAAAAAATTTAACCCCCGAATGGGAACATTATCTATTAAACCTTTTCAACAATATTATGGAAACTGAGAAAATACCGGGTGCGTGATCAAAATCTAATTTAATTTTAATTCATAAAACAGGTGAGAAATAGATATAGACAATTACCGTGGTATCTCATTGATAAATAATATAACATAGTTATTTACAGGAATTTTAGCTCAAAGGATTAAAGTTTGGACCAAAAGTGAAAACCTAATTCCAGCAAGCTGGATTTCGAAAAGGACGAGGCTGTGTTGAACAAATATTCACACTGATGTAAATCATAAATATAAATCTCCAAGTAAAGGAAGCTATGTCTATGCTAGATTTCAGAAAAGCGTTTGACTCCATCAACCATGAGCTCCTTTGGAAAAAGCTCTTTGATTTTGGTATCAGCGGTAAGATTGTTAGATTGCTTAAAGCTTTGTACGACATGGCTATGATGCAAATAAAAATTGGTGACGAGGTGTCGGAAGAAATAAAAATTAGCTCAGGACTATTACAGGGCAAAACTCTGCGTCCAATCCTTTTCATTATATTTGTCTCACACATAAAAACTTATTTTGTAAACAACGGTGCATCAGGTTTGCCCATTGATAGTGCAAGTGAATTTATAATGCTACTACTGACAGATGATATTGTGATGTTAAGCAATTCCTGACATAGCACCCACAAAAGACTGCAGATTCTGGAAAGGTATTGTGCCCGAAACTCACTAGTCCTGAATCCTCAAAAATCCTGGTATGCCACAAATCACTACATATGAAAAAACTGAAGTCTCTATATTGGCAAAACAAACCTCTGGAATTTATGAAAATCTATAACTATCTATGAGTGCCATTTTCAACATCGGCAAAATTTTACAAGGATGCTGAGCACTTGGTTCAAAAGTCAAATGTTGCAGGAGCGAAGTTTTTATGGTCTCGTCAACTCTTCTGTATGCAGCAGAAATCTTGGGCTTGAGATATTCGGAATCAATTGAGTTGGCACAGATGAAATTTCTCAAACTCTTATATCTCTGGCCAAAATCAACTCCTAATTACATAGTTAGATTGGAAACTGGTCGCTCACTGGTCTTGTTATCTGTTTTAAAGAAAGCAATAAATTTTTGTATAAGACTGTCATCACTGCTGAACCACCGGCTTCCTCGGAAATGTTTGGAGAAACTGGTGGCTCTTGATGCTAGGGAGCCAAATATGGATTTTAATTGGTTCTCACAACTTAAAAATATAGCCACTTCTAATTTCGTTGATGAACATTTTTATTGTTTTTCTGATCTAGGAATACTTCTTAGAAACAAAAATGCTATTTTAACAACTGTATCCAATAATTTATACTCTAAAGACATTGAATGTGCCTACAATTCAAATTACAGCCCAATGTATTGACGTATTTGTGGTTACAATTTCTCAGAACACAAAAATTATTTAAAATTTATGATACCTCTAAGAAAGTTACGGACAGTAAGTTGTTTAATTGTATCGGGTAGTGACCATCTAAAATTGCTCCATGGGAACATTACATAATTCATAAATACAAACGAAGTCTGCAAGTGGTGTGACCAACTTATCAATAACGGTTTAAAGCACTTGATGCTTGACTGTTTGTTTCTGGAGACACGTAGAAGGAAATATCTACATACACATATATAGGCTGCCACAGATGTTTGTCACTGGAGTGTGTGTTGGATATAAAAAATCTTGACCAGTTGAACAAAATATTTTATTTTATTATTAGTGTTTGTGACTCTATCAATACAAGTAAAAACTCTCAGCTTTAGGTCAGTCAGGCATGTGTTCATATGTCCGTGGGTGTACGTGTAATTATTCACAATTTGGGTGCCTTTTAAATATTATTATTATTATTAATTGTACTTGTGCGTTGTAATCCTAAGATCTCTACTATTTGTTTTACTTTGTTGTGTTCTGCATAGAAAATTTTCTTTAGTATATGTGTATTTTTATTTATTTATGATATCTCATTTATGATATTTATTATATAAATATATTTATATATAAATAGTAAAAATATTTGGAGTATAAAAATATTTATGATGTTTGTTATATAAAAATATTTTTGTTTTTGTCTTCTTATACTGTACTTATTTACTTGTTTTCTTCTAGTTATAAAACTAATCCCTGCTAATACCAGACTCCATGGCTACGATGTATATTAAGCCAATAAAATGTTTCTACTCTCTTCTAATTAATTAAGGGTGAAACATGGCTGTTGAGCGTGGTCCCAGCTTAATCACCTCCCTGCACATTCATTGGTCCTGAAATAGTACTTCCGTACTTCCTTACAAACTATTGAACATAAGACTCTTCATGGGTTGTAGTGGTAAAGTTTATTTTTTAGGGTGTGGGGTGGACGAACGGGCTTATGCGTGTGCACTGCGGCTCAGGTTGTCCTGCAACTCAGATCAATGATTAATTTGATTAAAATGAGTATGAGTTTGTATCCCGGGGGGTCCATAACTATCTCTTGTTATGGGTATTTTTAATAAAAATTGATTTTCAAAAAAATATTGATGATTGAATCAAAGGTAATTTTTGATAAATCTATTGATACAATAGGAGTATTTTGGGTTGGATAAAATTAGGCTAGCAACAAAAAACAAAATATAGACTGTAGGCAATCAAAATCTCTCAACTCTATTTGTTAAATTTTAATAAGGTAGATTGGTGGATTAAACAACATGTATAATGTGGATTGTTTATCTTTTGTTTAATGCTATACAATTAGTTCTATTTGAGCAGACATTTCATTATTCAAGTAGGGTACTAAGTGAAAGTTACTACTGTGCTGCACGCCTCTTGGGTTTTTTTTTGTTTCAAATTAATTTGTTTTTTAAATTTCATTAGCAATAGAACTAATTGTTTTGTGCTTGCATGTAATAGATGGTATGATTAAAAAAAAGAGTAGTTCATTTATTTACTCCTTCACTTGAGTCAATAGATTTTTGCTATAAAGCGATTTGTTGTCAATTCTAATTAAAAAAAAAACAACACCTTATGAGTAAAAACAGTGATTTTGTGGAGTAGAAAGTATTTCAAAGCATTTTATTGTATCATATAATGTTTTTTCAAAAATTAATGGATCGCATGAAAAAGATAATTTTTTCCTCAAAAAAACATTATATGATATTCTAAGAAAGCACCCTTGAAAAATAGTAGGATGGTTAGTAACTAAATATACATTTCATTATAATGTTTCAATAATATGTTCAATAATAAGAAATTACCTCGTTTGAGAGGTCAATAAAAAAACAACAAAAATGAAGTGCCACAAAATTTTTCCTATTTGTCAAAATATGTAAGTCAACAGATGACAAAAAAGCTCCTTCTCAAAGAATCTCCAATTTAAAGGTAAATGAAGCAATTATTGAAAGTAATGATGGTTTTTCGGATCTGCTGAAGGCAAGCTAGCTGAGAAGAATCAATATGCCTGTAAGTAATAAAGAAGAAACAGTAACCCTGGTTAATTTCATTCCTCAAGAACAATACTTTTTTTTTTTGAAAACAGAGAATTAAATCACAAAAGCAGCTTGTAAGAGTCCATAATCTCAAATCAAAAGTAAAAAAAGAAATATTTTATCTTAAAAATCACATTTAAAAGAAAAAACAAAATTTGCCCAATGAATCTCAGTGAAACATAAATTGTCTGTTTTCATATGTATAATAAAACGGTAATGTGGAAAAAGTTTAATAAAGTATAGAATATTAATTGTGTATTAATTTAAGAATGGAAAAATGTGATTTTAATAGTAGGTATTATAAGTTATAATTTATAACTGTACCCATATTTTATAACCGAATTGAACTGAGTTATTTAAATAAGTACTGTTTATTAAAAAGAAGTTTTAAAATATTACTTTTATAAATCTGATAAAATAAAAATGACAGATAATGTTTTAACACACTAGGGGATCCAGGATTTAATTTTGGGGGGGAGGGCTTCAGCCTGAAACCTTTTTTTTCATAAAAATAACGATAATTACTTTGGAAAAACAGAAAGAAACTAACTACCTATATGAAATGGTGTTTAAGTGGTTCCTTAAGTCCTTTTAAATGTGCTTAAACGAATAATAATACTTTAAAAGGTATTTTTAAAAAAAAATTTCCCAGAAAACATAGTTACATTTTACCATTTGGAGGGGGGGCTTCAGCCCGAAAGCCCCCCCCGTAGATCCGCCCGTGTTTTAACACAAATCTTATGATTAATCGCTAGTTTATTCGAAAACCGGTTATATTAATTTCTGTTAGCCGCTCTTTTACTGGTCTTCAGGTAATTTTACTGCTCCCATATATAACCGGTTATTTTTTTTAATAAGGCAATAACCGAACTCGAAAAACAAATTAATGTCTTAATAATAATTTTCTAAAAAAGTAAGGGTAGTTATTACATTTTCCCTCTAATCAAGAAAAGTAGTCTTCCCGATAATATCGCACATTGTGATTAAGTGAATACTCATGTGGTTATGGTTATTCAACCTTTGAAAAATATTTTCCATCTATCATCAACTGTTATTGTATTTACATAGTTGTTTTTGTTAGAATTACTATCTCATTCTTTTTAATAATTTTAACTTTAATCTTTCAACTGAACTTTTCTACAATTTCAAATTTCTTTGGAAACTGCGAAATTTAATTATTGCAATAGCTTTGATTAGAAAATTATTTAGGTAATTGCTTTTTTATTTTTATTTAATAAATAAATTTTATTTTGTCTTTTTGACCATTGTTACTTATTTAGTATATGGCCTGATTTATTGTTTCGTTGTCTACAGCATTTTCTGACCTTTAGTAGGCTGTGATGTTAGTGGAGTTAAGTACATATGGTTCCCACAAGATCTTGAGGTTATACAGTGATTTTAGTAATGTTAGTAAATTTTAAAGACGCTTTTACATTATGAGTTCATCTGTATTTATTTGAGATGTTAATTTAGTTTTTGTTTATTAAACGTTATAATTTTGTTGGTTTTATTTTAAAATGGGTGATTTTCAAACCCAAGAAAAAAGTGCTTCACAAACGGCAGAAGAATACAAAGAGAAGGCGAATTCTTTATTTAAAAGTCAGCAATATGAAGGAGCTATTGAGTTTTACACCAAAGCTATTGAATTGGATCCTAATAATGCTATTTATTACAGTAATAGGAGCTTTGCATATATGAAGACTGAATGTTTTGGTTCAGCCTTAGCTGATGCTACAAAAGCTGTGGAACTTCAAAATTCTTATGTTAAAGCATATTATAGACGGGCAACCGCCTATATGGCATTAGGTAAATTTAAACTAGCTTTAAGGGATTATGAAGCTGTGAGTAAAGCTTGTCCAAATGATAAAGATGCAAGATTAAAATACAATGAGTGCAATAAACTTATTAAAAAGTTAGCTTTTGAAAAAGCTATTGCTGTTAATGATGAAAAAAAATCTGTTGTAGATTCTATTAATTTTGATAGTATCACTATAGAAGAAGATTATTCTGGTCCTGCACTAGAAGATGGCAAAGTAACAGAAAAGTTTATTGCAGAACTTATGAAGACTTACAAAAGGCAAGGAAAATTACACCGGAAATATGCATATAAAATATTATTTGAAGTTAAAGATTACTTTATGAAACAACCCTCGTTAATAGATGTTACAATTGGTGATGATGAGAAATTCACCATTTGTGGTGATATACATGGACAATTCTACGACCTTATGAACATTTTTGAGCTGAATGGCCTTCCGTCCCCTACTAATCCTTATCTGTTTAATGGTGATTTTGTTGATAGAGGTTCGTTTTCTGTTGAGTGTATATTTACATTGTTTAGTTTTAAACTACTGTATCCTAATAACTTTTTTATGTCCCGAGGAAATCATGAAAGCCACACAATGAATCAAATGTATGGTTTTGAAGGAGAAGTAAGGTCTAAATATACAGCTGAAATGGCAGATCTTTTTACTGAGGTTTATAATTGGCTTCCACTAGCCCATTGTTTAAATAAGCGTGTTTTGGTGATGCATGGAGGCTTATTTGCAAATGATGGTGTTACTTTAAATGATATTCGATCAATAGAGAGAAATCGTCAGCCTCCTGAAGAAGGACTAATGTGTGATCTACTATGGTCTGATCCACAAAACGCCTTTGGAAGAGCTCCAAGTAAACGTGGTGTTGGCATTCAGTTCGGCCCTGATGTCACTAAAGCTTTTATCGAAGCTAACAATTTAGATTATATTGTTCGAAGCCATGAAGTGAAAAGTGAAGGTTATGAAAATGCTCATGATAATAAGTGTATTACTGTTTTTTCTGCACCTAACTACTGTGATACGATGGGGAACAAAGGTGCATTTATCACATTGAATGGGCGAGATATGAAACCAAAATTTACTTCATATTCAGCTGTCCCACATCCAGATATAAAACCAATGGCCTATGCCAATCCATTATTGAGTCTCATTGCTTGAGATTTAGTCAATCATTTACATAAATAAGTTCATCTAAATCAAACACATTTTTTAAAACTGTACATTATTAATTAAAAAAAATAAAGTTTTAATATTTAATTAGAGCAGTATTTTTCTATTTCCACTTAAACTAGTTATAATTTTTATTTGAACTAATTAAAAGCATAGAAATGGTAATTGTACTTGTTTTTAAGAACTGGTGTCGTCATACTTTTATGATAAATAAACACTATTCATATAGTGTTATCGAAGTGGTGTCTTTCCAACTACTAGTTGTTTGTCGCTTTGATATTTGTGTAAAGCAGCGGTCTTCACACTGAGTAATACGGTATCCTTGGCCACAGTATACGCCTGGGGGGTGGGGTAGAAGCATTTGCCAGAAGCGCATCAGCAATGATAGTTAAATTCAATATTTAAGGACAAAATAGTCATCTTGATTAATATATATATATATATTTCAATATTGTTGGTTAGAACTTCGCTTTATTTATAATTATAAAAACACATTGGATCATTACATTCAATGTTTCAGCACTTGGGCCATTTCAAGGGAAGAAACCTTATTTTAATATAAAATTAAAATCATATGGGCTGAATTGCTCTTATCACAATAATCAACTGTCTATTATTAAAACAAACACTCACGGTAGGAGACATATGAAGTAATTGAAACATTTAATTCAGAAACCTGCTAAATGTAATTTTTCAAATGACCTAGGAATTATGAAAAAACTGTTATTCATTGAATGTAATTTATAAAATAGTTCAGTACATGATGGGTTTCTACATAAATGAATGCTTTTACAATTATTTATTTTGATTTTTTAGTAAATACAAAGTTCATAAAAATATCCTGTGCATGAGTTTTTGTAATAATCTAATTGATAGTTGAAAAAACATTATTGTTTTATAATGGATCTGGGTACATTTAATTTATAAAAAAAGCAACTAAAATGATTTTACTTTACAATCCATTGATTCTTCAACTCTAATGATTGACAAATTACAGCCCATGAGTAAAAAACGGCCACCATTCCTGCTTGAAACTGATTTTAGAACAGCATTATTTTCAACACTAGTTTTCTTTAGTAAATAATTTGCATGGTGTATTAGTCAGTGAACAAATGACAAAATAATATAGGAATAAGTAAATGCAGTGTATCGTGTGGTGGAGGAATTAATTTTTTTTTCCTCGGTTGATTACAATGGTTCCTTCATAATAATAAACCAAAACATGAGTAAAAATTGCAATACGCTGCAATTTTACTAATAATGATTCAAAATCGAGGAATTTAATAACTTTCCAATTAATCATTAGTGGAATATTATATAAAGATTGTGCTTCGCTAAGCAGGTTTCCTTAGAAGTCAGTTAACTTTTTTATAAGTTTTTCAAACAATTAAGAAGTATAGACATGGTGTCCCGAAGGTAGAGGGAAATATTTAAACGATTGATAGTAGACATCAAGATCTACAAAAAATTTCATATTAATACTATTACAATTTCCAGCAGAAAATTAGGAAATTTAAGGTTGTGTTTTTTTAAGCAAGTCAAGTTTTTTGTTGAATAGGAAGCGATAACATAAAAAATATTTGATTAAGTAATTTAACATTGCTCCATAGTAACCCAGAGAAAATTTACTTTAAATGAAAAGAGTGTATGTCATTGTTAAAACTATTTAAAGAGGACTATTGGGCGGGAAACATAGCTAAGTTTCTTTTTTAAAAAAAAGGCATACATTTGTTTTTGTTTTTTTTATCACCCTTTAACAATATTACAGTTACCTTACTTTTACAAAAACTTCCTTGTTTAATAAGCTTGAAGTATATATTAATTAAGTTAAGGTTTATTGGAAAAAATGTTGAGATGCACCTCAAATGTAAAGAAATCATGTGATTTCCTATCCAGTCACCTAAAAGAACCCATGTTTTTAGCAAAAGTGACTACAATAAACAGTTGAAAAGCTTTTAATTCTATAAAAGATGTAAGATGTATTTTAATTTCATAATTGCCTAAAAACATTCATTCATAAAAAAAAAAAAATTAAAAATTATGATTTTTCAAATATTTTTCATGTAAGGTGGTTATGAAATAGATTTGTGTCATAGGAATTAATGGATATTTATAAGTGACAAGTTTAAAGTTTCTAGCCCTAATATTTACGTTTTTATGAAAATAATTGAAGCAATCAGCAGGTTTCTTTATTTCAAACATAAATTTTAGTAAAAAACAATAAGTTTGTAACTGATAAATAAATATGAATTCCTATGGTGGAGATCTGGGTGAAAAACACAATTTCATAACCTCTTTACATAAAAAATATCTAAAAATCATATTTTTAATTGTTTTATATTTATTAATAAAATGTTTTTTTTAGGCAATGATGTTTATTACAATACATCTTATATCTTTTATAGAAATGAAAGCTTTGTAACAGTTAGTTGTACTCATTTTTGCAGAAAACACAGGCACTTTAAGACAGACATGGGCAAATGCTACTCTTGAGTACAGAGTACCTAGTATTTTACTCAAATCGAATCACTATTGGGAATTCAATAACTACTTCAGTTAATCGTTTGACATCAAATGAAGTAAATAAAATTCTTTGATACTCTAAAAAGGTCAGTATTTGAGTAAAATACTTAGTACTCAGTACTCAGAATAGAATTTGCCCACCTCTGCTTTAAGGAGACTGGATAGGAAATCACATCATTTCTTTACACTTGAGCTGAATCTCAAAAATTTTTGTAATAAACCTCAAATTAATTAATATGGGCTTAAAGCTTATTAAACGTGAAAGTTTTGGTAAAAGTGGGATAAATGTTCTACGGTTAAACAGTGATAAAAAAAAATCAAATAATTTTGGGCTTTTTTTTAAACAGAAATTAACTGTGTTCCCCCGTCCAATAGTCCTCTTTAAATAGTTATAACAATGACAAACTCTGCTTTCCTTTAAAGTAAATTTTTTCTAGGTTACTATGGACCAATGTTTAATTACTTAAATTAAATGTTTTTTATTTTATTACTTCCTACTCGACATAAAACTTGAAAAAGCACAAATCTTAAATTTCCTACTTTTCTAGTGCAAGTTGGGCAATTGTTTATATGAACTTTTTTTGTAGATCTTGATGTCTACTGTCAATCTTACAAATATTTCCCTCTATTTAGGGGACACCCTGTATATATAGTTCTGAAATATTTCTATTGTTTCTTAAATTATCTGGTAGAGTTCCACTAAAGAATGTAAACTGAACATTAGTGTAAAAAAGAAAGAAATTTCATCGGACAAATTTCTATTCAATTTTTTAATTTTATAGGAAATTTGTTACTTTTTAAATAATCATTAATACAAGCAACTGCAAACTGTATAATTTTGAGTTATGTAAAAGTAAAGTTTCTTTTTCTCCATACAATTTTTTTCCTGAAATATCGGGACAATGCAGCTTTCGAGCTGAAGCCTTCATATAGGTAGTTAATTTCTTTCTTTTTCTTTTTCAAATTAACTATCCTTATATGTATATGAAAAAAAATCTTCCAGGCTAAAGCCCCCCAAAATTAAATCCTGGATTCGCTAGTGGGAGAATGTGACTAGGTTTTTCCTCCTGAAAAAGAAGATAATTTTAAAAATGAGAATTTAATGATTGGATTTGATGAATTAAGGAAGATATGACATACCGACATAAAAACCCTTTTGTGGAATAATATATGAAGATTTAAGTTTGAAGATGAATAATTACTTAGTATTGTGTTAATATTTTGTATATACAATATCTTCCATAATTTTTTTTTTTTCTTGGTTCAAATTTGCATATAAGAAATTTAAATCAATGCAGATTGTTTAATTCATTACAATTAGTACTTAGGATTTTTTAAAACTTATATACTATCTTTTGTGTATGGGTTGCATGATAAAATTTCAAATTTTGTTATTAATTACGTTATGTGAACTTTCCAATATCCTTCACTTGTAATAATTAATGTGAAATGTTTAATATAATCTTTCTTTTTTTTTTAAACGTTTAATGTAATCATAAGTTAATTTATGTTGGATAAATATAATTGTTATCCTTTTTGTTCATACTTAAAAGAATATTATTATTATTATTTTTTTTTTATCATTATGTAGTAAAAGATTTAGCTGACAATGTAACATTTTTTTTTTCTAAATGCAAGTGTTTCATTTGTTAGATTTTTCTGAATATTTAAAAAAAAAATCATAATAATATTTAAAATCTGGTGCGCGCATCACACGATTTTCACTTACCACCCTCTTCTTAGTAGAAATAAGTATTTTCAGACAAAGGAAAAGTGAAAGTAAAAATTATAGACACTATATTTATTTACATTTCATTGTGGGTATTTTTATTTGTTTAAATACCTCTATATATATAAATTTTAATTTTTATATCGCTGTATTATTTACAATTAAATATTAAATAATACCAACGATAGCATTTATGAAAACCGCATATGTATTATAATGTACACCTTTATTGGAAGTGAGTAAAAAGGGTTTAATAAATTAATGTTGAACAATTAAGGCAATAAAAGGCAAGCTAATCTAGTTCTACTAGTGCAGGGAAAAGAAAATGGCTAATCTATAGTTTCCCAAGAAGGAAAATCCCAAAGAGGAGAGGGACAAAGGTTTTTGTTTTGGCAAATAGTTGTGTGCCTGTGGTGAAGAGAGGATAGGAGAAGGGATCCTGGCTCCAGTGGGTAAAACCCAGAAATAGTATTACCATTTAGAAGTTTGGAATTACAAGAGAGAGGATCTCCCAGGGAGCTTGAGTTGAGTAGAAGAAAGACACTTAGAGTAGAAGTGTCTTTCTTCTACTCAACTCAAGCTCCCTGGGAGATCCTCTCTCTTGTAATACCAAATAACTTGTCTCTCTGCCAAACAACAACTTCCAAGCTGGTAATACTGTTTCTGGGTTTTACCTCCACTGGAGACAGGATCCCTTGTCCTATCCTCTCTTTCATACAGTCACACAACTGTTCCCAAACAAAAACCTTTGTCCCTCCCTCTTGGGATTATCCTTCTTGGGAACTATAGAGCAGCCATTTTCTTTTCTCTGCACTAATAGAACTTGATTAACTTG